GCACATGACTTGTATCAGGTCGAGTACAAAACACTTGACAACACCAAATAAACCGTGTCAACATCCTTGGCATATATCCAAGTTATGTTTTGGCCGGAATAACTAAATTAATAGGTCTAGTCTTTGGTTTTGACACGGAAACCTCGGCGAGTGTGTTATAAACACCAGGTCAATTAAAATTGAAATTGAAATCAGTTTATTGAGGTAAAATACACACAAAGGGATGAGGTAGCTCAAGCTATTCTCACCCCGTTCAGTACATCGTGTTAATACATACATAGACACACATCACAAGCAATAAACATATTACCAAACATTCTGAGAGATAAACATCTACATTTCGTCCTTTACACAAGTAGTATGGTATCAGACGTACACAAATACTTTTATGACCTAGATATACTGTATAGACATCCAGGTATAAACATATGATACTTGAAAAAACGAGAGAATATCACACCATATGAACCGAACGAAGTAATACTCAACACGTGACATCACTCTCAGTGTAGCCCGTCCTCCCAAGGTTCCATAAACATCAAGAAATCGGTCAAAGTAAAGTGTCCTCTCCTAACCTACCAAAGGACCCAAAACAGAAAACGGGACAGTACGTCAATTTCGCCAGCCGCTTCCGTTTACTAGCACAACCATTTTTGGCCTTATGTAACGCCTACGAGCGAAATGTGACGTTCTTTGTAAGAGTACAGACTGTCCAGCGCTAACACAAGTCCCTCAGCGTCCAACAAGACTATTACGCTGCCTCCAGGACTAGTCCAACACGTTATAATCTCTCTAGAAACAAAAATATCTATAACTAGCCCCGGATATACCAGTCAAAACATAAAACAACCCACAGGAACACTTTTCCATAGTATCCTTCAAGATGGATTTGTGCGAATTCTTTCTTAAGATCAAATTTCACTTTCTAGGAGCCACCTTTCCAACGGAAGGTCTACTAATGCAATGGAACCTTTCATTCTGCTTACTACTATTACTAATAATAATAATAATAATAATAATAATAATAATAATAATAATAATAATAATAATAATAATTTATTTTAAATATACGAAAGAATAATGTTCAGTGGTTTCATAATTGTTACAAAGTACGGGGATTAAATAGGACATTAATATGCAAAATATTTATTCATATATATGTGTAATCTGCATATGTAGCCCTTTGTGTATGTCCTATGTTGACGGCTTGTTTATTGTGCACCCCATACTCATCCTGTGAGTGGTAGTTATTGTGCACCCCATACTCATCCTGTGAGTGGTAGTTATTGTGCACCCCATACTCATCCTGTGAGTGGTAGTTATTGTGCACCCCATACTCATCCTGTGAGTGGTAGTTATTGTGCACCCCATACTCATCCTGTGAGTGGTAGTTATTGTGCACCCCATACTCATCCTGTGAGTGGTAGTTATTGTGCACCCCATACTCATCCTGTGAGTGGTAGTTATTGTGCACCCCATACTCATCCTGTGAGTGGTAGTTATTGTGCACCCCATACTCATCCTGTGAGTGGTAGTTATTGTGCACCCCATACTCATCCTGTGAGTGGTAGTTATTGTGCACCCCATACTCATCCTGTGAGTGGTAGTTATTGTGCACCCCATACTCATCCTGTGAGTGGTAGTTATTGTGCACCCCATACTCATCCTGTGAGTGGTAGTTTATTGTGCACCCCATACTCATCCTGTGAGTGGTAGTTATTGTGCACCCCATACTTATCCTGTGAGTTGTAGTTTATTGTGCACCCCATACTCATCCTTTGAGTGGTAGTTATTGTGCACCCCATACTCATCCTGTGAGTGGTAGCCCATAACAGAATTACTGAGAGCACAGAAGGTCTTAATCAGACCTCAGTGGATATATTTACATTATCAATTACATCTAACTATGCTGTAGTTATAATGGCAGCTAGTTACAAAAATATTTGCATTACAATATATATAAGTATTTACATGAATTGTTATACATTGATGGTCTGTATTTTGCTAATACATAAAATATTTATATGTGGGGATATTACAAGATCATTGAAGAGCTGCTGTTTGTTATTATTAGTCTTCGCACTACACCGTTTGATCATTAGTCTCATATGTCATTCATCTACTTGAAGAGTAACATACATACAGTGCAAAGATTTCACATATTCTATATGTGAAATATTTCAGATATTCTATATGTGAAATATTTCAGATATTCTATATGTGAAATATTTCAGATATTCTATATGTGAAATATTTCAGATATTCTATATGTGAAATATTTCAGATATTCTATATGTGAAATATTTCAGATATTCTATATGTGAAATATTTCAGATATTCTATATGTGAAATATTTCAGATATTCTATATGTGAAATATTTCAGATATTCTATATGTGAAATATTTCAGATATTCTATATGTGAAATATTTCAGATATTCTATATGTGAAATATTTCAGATATTCTATATGTGAAATATTTCAGATATTCTATATGTGAAATATTTCAGATATTCTATATGTGAAATATTTCAGATATTCTATATGTGAAATATTTCAGATATTCTATATGTGAAATATTTCAGATATTCTATATGTGAAATATTTCAGATATTCTATATGTGAAATATTTCAGATATTCTATATGTGAAATATTTCAGATATTCTATCATTTGTAATAAGATGGTTCGCCATTTCATGCAACATGAGTTAAGGTTTATCTCTAAATGGCTCAAATGGTCACAGTTTAGGATGTAATGTCCTAGTGTGTGTGTGTGTGTGTGTGTGTGTGTGTGTGTGTGTGTGTGTGTGTGTGTGTGTGTGTGTGTGTGTGTGTGTGTGTATGTGTGCCCATCTGCCAGATATACTTGTAACCAAGCACTCACCTACTTGTACTCAGCTTGTTGTGCTTGCGGGGGAGGTTGAGCTTCGGCTCTTTGTTCCCGCCTTCCAACTGTCAGTCTACTGGTGTTCAGGTTACTGAGCTTATCAAGCTCTATCACATCTACATGTGAAACTGTGTATGGAGTCAGCCTCAGTGGTATTCGTATCCCAGCTGTGACAACGTTTCTTTGTCTGGTGATTTTGTTACTTGTCCCCAAACACATGTTTTGCTTGACACATCTTATTGTAATATTAAGGGGATCTGCTAGTTCCTCTTTATTTTACCGTCTTCAGATTCATCCAAGAGATCTCCTCTAATGACATTTTTGATAGATATATTTGATATCTGGAGATTACATTGAGCATTGTGTTTATTTACTGCAAGCTAAGCAAGGGCATCAACTTTATCATGTTGCTACACTCCAAGGATATAACCAACCTTAGGGGAGCCGGTCGGCCGAGCGGACAGTACGCTGGACTTGTGATCTTGTGGTCCCGGGTTCGATCCCGGGCGCCGGTGAGAAACAATGGGCAGAGTCTCTTTCACCCTATGCCCCTGTTACCTAGCAGTAAAATAGGTACCTGGGTGTTAGTCAGCTGTCACGGGCTGCTTCCTGGGGGTGCAGGCCTGGTCGAGGACCGGGCCGCGGGGACACTAAAAGCCCTGAAATCATCTCAAGATAACCTCAAGATAACCTAACCTTACTGTATGTATCATGTTCGATTTATTTCTTCTTCGTGTGCCACTGGGTTCAGCTCCCTCAATCTTTTATTCATTTGTTTATATACACAAGAGTTCTTACATGCTTGTACAGCCACTAGCAAGCGCAGCGTGTCGGGCAGGTCCTTAAGCCTGTGTTCCCTGGAATACGACCCTGACAAATCGCTTAACAAGCAGGTACCCATTTACTGTTGGGTAAAAAGAGGCTACAGGTAAGGATTGACGCCCGGTAAACCCTCTCCGGCCAGGATACGAACCCAGAAAAAAACGCTCGCCTCCTGGTGACTTCCTCCTGGTGCTAATATCCTCAGCTTCAGCCCTCCTGATCAGTCCTGTGTGTTGCTTCCTTACTCTTCCTTGTGATATCTTTCAAACTGATTGATTAAGCCACCCAAAAGGTGGCACGGGCATGAATAGCCCGTAAATGGTGGCCCTTTTGAGCCATTACCAGTATCAAGAGCTGATACTGGAGATCTGTGGAGGTGCGACTGCACCCTGCGTGACGGGAGATGTCTCCCGTGTCTTCCAAACTGCTGATACCAAGTATTTGTATCACCACACCTCGCTATAGCCCGGTGCCCGGCCTCTCTCCCTCACTGTCTCTCAGGTAAACAATATACTGTAATGTTTATGTAAGCTTATATGATTATAATTGTACAACAGTTCATGAATAAAGGTTTTGATTTGATTTAATTTGGAAGAAGAACTCTGGTGGTGGGTGTTTGGCCTGGGGACGGTGGTCTGAGATCACTTGAGAGGTTACTCACTAAGCTGTCGCCCGACTCACAATACCCAGCGGACTGACAGCCCATGAATATTGTATATTATGTGTGGCTTGTGGACATTATCACATTGACTGGTGGTTATTCACTGTATTTGTCAGTCTTCTGTCGTGCGCTATTGTTTACATCTCCGGGGTTTAGTGAGTGTAGCGTAGTCAAAGTTGGGTGTTGTCTTCGACACTCCCTCCTCCTTTGATGTCCGCGGGACAATGAGCCGGCGGCTTGACACATGTCCCCTCCCTCCCTCCTCAACATTGCTCCTAAGGAAAATTTCCAGGTGAATTTTAAAGTGAGGTAGTGTTAACAGTTTGGGGAGGGGGGGGGTGTTCCATGGGTAACACCTGTGAGTGAAAAAACATCTCCTGCCTTATGTGTGATTGTGGCTTGTTGAGCTGTAAGTTGTAGCCCCTTGTGTGTGTGTGTTACATTGTGGCTTCAAAAGACGTGGTCTGGATTAATATCTTCCACGTGTTGTATCTTGGGACAACAGCGTCCGTCCTTCCTCGTTCCCTTTTGGCGGAAACCACCACAGCAGCAAGTTACTGATAGCAGCAGGTTTACTCCCAGTAACCTCGGTGATAGGATAACAAAAAAGCAAGAGAGCTGCGATAAGGGAGGGAGGTGGGGGTGGGGGAGGAGTGTTGCTATATATTGCGGGGAGCTGACTGAGGTAGTCGCAGTTCTCCTGAAGGAGGAGACACCAGCGGTTAAGTGTTTCCTCGCAAGACACGGGATACATCCATGAGTTTTAAGGTGGGCCAGACATTGTTTCTTATGACGCTGCAATTGTTATATAATCATTTGAAAATAGCTCTATAGTTTATATATATTAAGAATATATTATTTTTATCCTGAACTATGACACTAACAGTCGCTAGTTTTGATTTGTTGGTTGGCTAGTCCAGGGGCCAGATTCACGAAAGCAATTACGCAAGCACTTACGAACCTGTACATCTTTTCTCAATCTTTGGCGGCTTTGTTTCAAATTATTAAACAGTTAATGAGCACCGAAGCACCAGGAGGCTGTTTATAACAATAACAACAGTTGAATGGGAAGTTTTCATGCTTGTAAACTGTTTCATAAATGTAACCAAAGCCGTCAAAGATTGAGGAAAGGTGTACACGTTCGTAAGTGCTTTCGTGAATCTGGCCCCAGAACTAATGTGGTGCCACTAGTGTGTATCAGCTCTATACACACTAGTGGCACCACACACTAGTGGCACTACACACTTTACACTACACAGTGTATATCCCGGTGGTAGGTGTGAAAGCCTAATATTGCTCGGTTTCAGGTGGTGTGGGCGCTGGCGGCGGCCCTGGCTGTGGGCGTCACCGCTGAGCCTCGCTACGCCAGACCAGGAGGTGACTACCACTCTTATCTCTTCCATTACCATTAAGAAAAGCCTAAGATATTCAGCTGACAGACCAACTTGCACTTTCTCAAACAAACAGAAAACTGTATATGATCTGATGATTCAATTAATATAAACGGTGCAAATATGTCATTTGTAATTCGATGGAATGTACACACTCCAGTAATGTACTCAAGTTCGTCAGCTTTATACAAAGGCTTGCCACTAAGGTGCTGATCTAAGATCAGATCAAACATTTGGGTATTTTATCAAACATTTACGCAAACATTTGCGCATTTTGTCAAACATTTACGCAACCACTTACGGAACCTGTACATCTTTTCTCGATCATGGCGGCTTTGTTTATATTTATCAAACAGTTTATGAACTCCAAAGCACTACGAGGTTGTATGTAACAATACTAATCCCGAATTGAGAAGTTTTGAAGCTTGTAAACTGGTTAATAAATGTAAAAATAAAAGCCGCCATGTTTGAGAAAAGATGTACAGGTTTTCGTAAGTGGTTGCATAAATGTTTGATGAACTCTGGTCCGTCTCTGTATTTCTCTAAGTACCCAAGTGTTAACGTAAGGTAGCCAGAGATGTCTCCCACCTGTGTCAGTGGCAGGGGGAAGACCAAGGGTAGGTTACAATTGAGTGTATGCAGTTTGTTATTCATACCAGCTAACACTATCTCTTCAACTGGTGCGGTTTGCGTTATCAATGACAGAGTGAAAATCCCTGTGAGGAATTCGTTCTAGATGGGACAGACACGAACGGCCTCTTTAGGCCGTTCGTCTCGACGTCCACGAGGTCATTAGAGGCAACGACAATATGGATGAGAGTCCAGAACAATTATGGCGTCTTAAGTATGCTGAAAATGAGGTATAGCCAATGTTGGATCACTTGATGGTGAGGAGGGTTAAGGGAGTCATGGTTACGAGAGCACTGAGACAACCATCCACAAGAACACACCATCACTGGCACCTAAAGAGTCGCCGTCTCAGGATGTACGGTGTCGCATAATGCTCCAGTAATTATATTCTTCTCTCAGGAAATGCCACACTAAAAGTTTGATTAGTAAAAATAACAGACAAAACACCACCATGAACAGACTTCGAACCATCTGCAAACACCGCCATGAGCAGACTTCGACCTATCTGTGAACTCCACCATCGGCAGACTTCGACCCGTCTGTAAACAGATTAGTAGCGCGGGAGTGGCATATCAAAATAAACAAAGAAATCTATTATTCATGTACATGAAACTTACAAAATATTTCAGATCATGAGCCACAGGTGTACGGCAGCAGTGCCCAGCCAGACCGTCTGGCTCGACGCGTTTGTTACTACGAGACGTGGGCCGTCTACCGTCCTGATGAGGTTCACTACGACATAGAGGACATCCCCGCTGACCTCTGTACTCACCTCATCTACTCCTTCTGTGGGGTTTCCAATGTTACTTGGGAGGTCATGGTCCTGGACCCTGAGGTGAGATGCTAACATTTCTCGTGGTGAAATGACTCGTTATATTAGACATCTTGTGTATATCTATATATCTTGTGTTATAAAAGATACGAGTCTCGTCAGATTGTGATGCAGAGATAAGTCTTACTGGGATGAGCGGTTATAATTTAAAGCTTATTGACATGGTATAAAGATGTGAATCTAAGGATTCATTAGGTTCTGCTTTATTCAAGCTAACTAAGAGTTCATAACAATTCTAAATAAATTGCTCGAGCTAGAAACACAATAAATTTATATTAGATGTTTACCAGTCAGAAACAACTTACTTTTATTTTAATAAATAGATTCTAAATACTGAGGGGGGGGGGTATTATTGAAGTTATTACCAAGAATTTCATAAGAATAGATTGTATGATGACAGGTCTTTCCTTGAGCGACTCTGCTGAATTATTTTCTTGGTGGACGAGCTAGGCGCCAGAGCTATGACATTCAAACGACCACATTTGCAATAGCTTTGTCTCTTGTGCCTTGACAGCTGGACATCAACGCCAACGGCTACCGTCGCTTCGTGGCTCTCAAGGAGAAGTATCCTGACTTGAAGACGATGATCGCCGTGGGTGGTTGGGCCGAGGGAGGCAAAAAGTACTCACAGATGGTCTCCGTGGACGAGCGCCGACACACCTTCGTCAGGAGCGTTGTCCGTGAGTACTGGTGATGACCGTGTACTGTGTGGACGACTTACATTACCAATATTATCAAGGAGTCCAGCGACATTAACCCTTAGTTTGCTAGTCGCGTCAATGAACGTGTTCGCTCAATTTGGGTTCAGTGTGCCGCTAGGGTACACCAGCGTTTAACATTTGGATTATTAGAGATTCCTCTTGAGGTTATCATGAGATGATTTCGGGGCTTAGCGTCCCCACGGCCCGGTCCTCAACCAGGCCTCCTTTTTGTTACACAAAAAGATCAAGTCGGCGGATGTATAGTTGCTGTCTTTGAAGTCAATGTAGAATTCAATTTTTTTAACCCTAGAGTGCCTACAGAACCACTAAGAAGCTAGCATTTCATCTGCTCTGCCTCTCCCCATCTTTTGGCTCTCAGTTTCTGGGCTTAGAAAGTAATATTTTCATGGATACTAGTGAATAGTTACTTATTTGTGACAACAGTGTTTCCCTGAATGACCTTGTGGAAACAGTGGATGATATAGTGAGAGAATGTAACAACACTTCCGTGGCAGAGTGAATGTTATTTGTTTATAATTACAACTAGAGGGAAATGTGTCCCACAAAGTGACGGGAGTAACAACATCCCCACAGAGCTGCTGACAGACTACGGCTTCGACGGGTTCGACCTTGACTGGGAGTACCCAGGAGCGACGGACCGCGGTGGTGCATATGCTGACAAAGACAATTACTTGAAATTAGTAAGTGTATTTATATTTCTCCTTTGACTCATACATAACAATATTAAACAATATGTATCCGTTATCAACACTGTCAATATACCGGAACCACTCATTACTTTAGGTTCAGGAGCTTCGAGACGCATTTGACTCAGTGGGAGCTGGGTGGGACCTGACGGCGGCGGTCCCTGTCGCCAAATTCAGGCTGCAAGATGGCTACCACGTGCCGCAGCTGTGCAGGTCTGTTCTCGCACGCTAACACCTTCACACTCACAAAATAAACTTGTTCATATTTCTAATGTATGTAAATGATGATAAATGTTTTACATGATGCCACTGTATCATTCTAAGTGTGTTTTATCCACTGGAATAATGTTTTGGAGTGTACCACATACAGCCTGTTGGACGCCATCCACATGATGACGTACGATCTGCGAGGCAACTGGTGTGGGTTCGCTGACGTCCACTCCATGCTGTACTATCGTCCCGGCATCGACGAGTACGCCTATGAGAAGCTCAATTGTGTAAGGCTGATCAGCTCACTTGTTATGTTTATGTGTCATGGTGCTGCGACTGGTGGTATGTCAGGTATACTTGGAGAGGTGTGGATGGTAGGGGGGGCGGAGAGGTGTGGATGGTAGGGGGGGGCGGAGGTGTGGATGGTAGGGGGGGGGAGAGGTGGGGGTGGAGAGGTGTGGATATGAGAGAAGCGAGGGAGATGACAACGATGATGATGATCAGGGCGGTAGAAATAGCCTAAGTTACAAAATTCAATGCACATCGTCACATCAACAATGGGTTCGAGATCGACCACAAGTACAGTTTCTAAATTAAGCAACTGACATATGTGGAGAGCTAGTGTCATAAGTGATATGTTTGTCCTCCACACCAATATAATAATTTTTTTAAATATAATTTTGGAAAGAGTATTTTTTATTTCAAAGAGTATTCCTCATCACATACTTTACGATACCTTTCGTGTCTTGGAATGTCACCTACCACACACACATTCATGTATCCAAGCAAAACTTTCTGTGTATAAAAGCATCTCTTACACTGCAGAATGATGCTGTCCTTCTGTGGGAGGAATTAGGATGTCCCGCTGACAAACTGGTGTTGGGTACGCCCTTCTACGGTCGAACATACACCCTCAGCAACCCTGCAGAAAGCAATGGCCTTCATGCATACATTGTCACATGGGCGGGCGGCGGAAAGCCTGGACCATACACCAACGCCACCGGAACCTTGGCGTACTTCGAGGTAATGCCTTTCAGTCGTACGTTTAATGCGCTATGCATAATCTTCTATCAAATATGTTCTGTGATAATTTGAGGTCCACTGCTCGAGGATGATCACGTGACTAACGAAGGGTAACTCCTCTCTCAGATCTGCAAGATGATGGTTGACGACGCAGCCTGGGAAGACCGCTATGATGACGTCGGCCTCGTCCCATACACTACGAAAGGTAATCCAACGTCTTATTGTGAAACTTTACTTGATATACAGTCACTCTTTGTAGTCTGGTTGCACACAACTAGTGCAGGTATACCTGAATGGAGGTGCAGGTGTAATGAAGAGTCTCAGTGGTTCAGTCTAGTGAAGAAATCCAACTTTGACACTTGCCGATGTTTGAGAGTTTAACGTGCGCAAACATCTTTTAGTTAGCCGGCGGGTGTAGCGTTTTTTACAGTCTCCTTAAGATTCTTCAGGAGACTCTCTGATTATCATGAAAATCCTTAAGATTTTCATGATATCTCAGTATGCGTTGGTCGTGGCGGTGAGTTTAGTCCAATTCCTGGACCACTATTATACCGTGATCTAAATAACGAATGGTGTTAATTAATGAGTGTTGCCGGCAGACGACCAGTGGGTTGGCTACGAGGACCCTGACAGCCTCAAGATCAAGATGGACTACATTAAGGAAATGAAATTGCTGGGGGCCATGACCTGGGCCGTAGACCAGGACGACTACCTGGGCTGGTGCAACAGAGGAAAGAATCCCATGATGACGTAAGTTACTAGCATGACCCAGTCTCAGTCCTGAGCAACATTCCTCGTTTAGTTAACTCACTGTTTTGCCCCTCTCACGTTGACTGTGTTGTGTTATGTGTTATCTGTCCGGTGTGAGTCGTTGACTCCCGTGTGATGCGCTGACTGTCCCGTGTGGTACTTAAGGTAAGGTGAAGCAGCCTATTCTGAACACATGTAAAGAGATCACCCACAGCCTTCATAACAGACATAAAGATACCTTTTTGTTGTGTTGCAGAGTGCTCTATGAAGGCATGAAGGACTACATCGTACCTGTGGCGCCAACCACCACCACCACGGTGAGTCTCCTCCCACACTTACCCCTCCACCATGGTGAGTCTCCTCCCACACTTACCCCTCCACCACGGTGAGTCTCCTCCCACACTTACCCCTCCACCACGGTGAGTCTCCTCCCACACTTACCCCTCCACCATGGTGAGTCTCCTCCCACACTTACCCCTCCACCATGGTGAGTCTCCTCCCACACTTACCCCTCCACCATGGTGAGTCTCCTCCCACACTTACCCCTCCACCACGGTGAGTCTCCTCCCACACTTACCCCTCACCCACGGTGAGTCTCCTCCCACACTTACCCCTCCACCACGGTGAGTCTCCTCCCACACTTACCCCTCCACCACGGTGAGTCTCCTCCCACACTTACCCCCTCCACCATGGTGAGTCTCCTCCCACACTTACCCCTCCACCACGGTGAGTCTCCTCCCACACTTACCCCCTCCACCACGGTGAGTCTCCTCCCACACTTACCCCTCACCATGGTGAGTCTCCTCCCACACTTACCCCTCCACCATGGTGAGTCTCCTCCCACACTTACCCCTCCACCACGGTGAGTCTCCTCCCACACTTACCCCTCCACCACGGTGAGTCTCCTCCCACACTTACCCCTCCACCACGGTGAGTCTCCTCCCACACTTACCCCTCCACCATGGTGAGTCTCCTCCCACACTTACCCCTCCACCATGATGAGTCTCCTCCCACACTTACCCCTCCACCATGGTGAGTCTCCTCCCACACTTACCCCTCCACCATGGTGAGTCTCCTCCCACACTTACCCCTCCACCACGGTGAGTCTCCTCCCACACTTACCCCTCCACCACGGTGAGTCTCCTCCCACACTTACCCCTCCACCATGGTGAGTCTCCTCCCACACTTACCCCTCCACCACGGTGAGTCTCCTCCCACACTTACCCCTCCACCATGGTGAGTCTCCTCCCACACTTACCCGTCCACCACGGTGAGTCTCCTCCCACACTTACCCCTCCACCATGGTGAGTCTCCTCCCACACTTACCCCTCCACCATGGTGAGTCTCCTCCCACACTTACCTCCACCATGGTGAGTCTCCTCCCACACTTACCCCTCACCATGGTGAGTCTCCTCCCACACTTACCCCTCCACCATGGTGAGTCTCCTCCCACACTTACCCCACCATGGTGAGTCTCCTCCCACACTTACCCCACCACCATGGTGAGTCTCCTCCCACACACCATCACCACAGTCAACCAGTACTCTCCCACACAACACCACGGGCTGACACTGGATGGTAGTATATAAGATCTCACATAACTGTAACATGGCACATTCTTCTCTCACGGGACTGTTTCAGTGTGCAGATCTAGAACCAGTCACTATAATACTTTACAGATATAGATTATAATGTACCGGAATACATGATAGAAGGTTCTACTCCACAGTGATTATTAAACAAAATATTCACTTACCTCTGAGAGCCTGTAGGAGCCCCGTTACACCAATGGACTGTTGTGGCCACACTAGGATCACATGGTTCATCACTCCAGGTAGGCTTAGCTTTATTATTAATTATTCATTCCCGTACAGCGTCAGGTTCTGTATATACACAGTTGTGCTACAACTTCAATATTAACTATTACCATAACAATTCAGAGCATGATGCTGCAGTTAACATGGTTTGTTGTTGGCCTTGTTAAGGAGCGCCTCTCGTTACAAAGCAAATTTTATTTTTGCCCAACAAAAATACCTTTACCAAATACCAAAATACCAAAATACCAAAAATGCAACAAAAATATCCGATCCCACGATCGTCGTCGCCCCTAAATCATCACAACAACAAAAATACCTTCTTATAGTGTTTTTGAGGAAGACAAACCCGTCGTTATTGGCGACCCTTCTCTCGTGGTAATTATCCACTTTATTTAAATCACACGCTAATTGTGACTGCCTCAGGGTTCACTAAACTCTTAAGAGTGACTTCGAATGTAGTTTGGCGAGGAATGATTTCTCTACTGTGCCAGATGACCGGAAATTTGGTTCCGGTGTGACCCCGTGCGCACCTCCGTCCAGCTTCTGTGGGAGACTGGCCGCTGCCCCTCGCCCGGGCTCGTCCTCTTCTGAGTTGACCAGAATTTTTTCATGGTAACCGATTACTTTCACTATAAACTATTTTGTTTAAAGTTTGTATTATCGTTGCGAATGCAAATCGTCATGCATGGTCTCAAGTACAATATTAATCAATACAAATTCACGATACATTAGCGCGGGAATCGGTCATGTGAAATGTTTACTTCTGAAAATCCTCATTTTTATGGTCTAACAATTTCATAGTCCACATTTCATATTATTTTCAGTTAGTTTCGACAATAATTTTGTCTTTTTCATTTTAATATGAGAAGTTATTATGAGTTTTGAGGAAATGTTGTTGTTAGATTCATCTACTCTGAACAAAAGTTCCAAGTAGCACTGATATAGAAGCGTCTGCGCGAGTTTTGTTTACGTTTTCCGAAAGAAACAATCTTACGCAATTTTGTATATTGTCAGACTTTCACTGGATTTCCAACAGACGCTTAATCATAAGAAAATTCTGGGTTCAACCTCAACGCTGGCGAACGTTTGATTCCTGCTGGTCAAACTGGTCAAAGATTTGTCATACATTATGTTTACCTGCCGAAAGATAAAGTTGTTTACACGCACATTGGATTAATGCAGATGGTACTATAAGACTTATTTAATTTTCAGGGAAATTTGTATACTACTTTTTAATGCCTGTGGATAAATTTACAAAATCTTCCTTGGTGAGCCCAACTAACATTAGCGTTAATGTTGCACAACAGAGAAACCCATGGGACCCGACCACCCCCACTACCACCACCAGGGACCCCAATGCACCTACCACCACCACAACTACAAGGGACCCCAACGCACCCACAACTACGATGGGTCCCATTGACTGTAACGTACAGGACTACTGGCCCCACCCTGACTGTGATAAGGTGAGCAGTTGAGCACCAGAGGTCTTGATATAGTGTATTATGAAATTATGTGAACATTTCATGTTGATAGATGAAACTGAATTCCCTGCGGTACTTCGGGCCTTGATTTTTACAAAACTTAAAGTCTGGTGAGATAATAACTCTTTCCCGTTAAACAATCAATGACTTGTGTGTTGCATGTTGTCTTGGGCATTAGCAGCTGAAGCATCCCAATAGTAATAAACTAATATTTACCTCTGTATTGCATCATTTAATATAAAAAATTATTTTTATGTTTGATCGTGTATGGTAACAAAAGACTTAGAACAGTGTGTAATATGAGAACCCCGTGTGTGTGTGTTTCAGTATTACTGGTGCTTCGGCGGAGAGCCTCACCTAGAGCAGTGTCCGCCTGGTACATACTGGAGTCAGCCTAACAAGATCTGTGACTGGCCACAGAACGTCGACACCTCTGACTGCAACATTCCTGCCCTAAAGAGAGACCTTCACCCCAAGGCCAACTCCAACATCGCTCCTCCTCAGGTCAAAGGCAAACCCGCTCCTGCTCACCCCAAAGCCGCCAAGCCTGCTGCTCCTCAGCCCAAAGCTAAGCCCGCTGCACCCCACCCCAAGGCCAGCCACGACGCAAAGGCTGAAAAAGCCCCACCTATTGTAAAAAAGTTAAGAAACCAACTACCTTAGCTGGTGACTTATTAATACGAATATGATTTCAATACAAGTTTTATAATACAAGATTTAGTTATACTTCACCATATGATATGTATATAGTCTCTGTAAAACAATATTAATTAAATATAATACCAGTCAGGGATGGAATAAAAATATATTAATACACAGAGCACATTTTATTTTCCTTAATGAAACAGAAGTTTATTGTTGGCATGATTGAAAAATAACATAAATTTGTACAAATAACTCGAGAAGCTTTTCATGCAGGAAAATGAAACATATCCTTGTCATTCAAAGCCCGCCATTTCCCCATCTCGAATTGTTACTTAAGTGAATCAGTTAGCATTATGTCTTTGCTTTTTGCAACTTTGCATTTCATTAAAACTAAGCGAATTAATGAAGTGTTATGGTCTTATACTAGTTAACCGTACACTAGCTCGTGCCACCTCTTGGGTGGCTTAATCTTCATCAATCAACCTCACCAGTTCAAGTATGTTTATTGAGACAAGAAAGAAATACACCTTAAAAGGACAAAGTAGCTTAGGCTATTTCTACCCTCCTGCCTCACCAGTGAGGTCTGCCTGTCTCATGTCAGTTGCTTGGTGACGCTTGGAGTGGGTGGACGTGTTGACTGTGGACTCTATATTTCGCTAAGTATTTTTTTCGTATAGATAAATATCTTAGTCCACCTAGTTAATGTTATTTAGGGAATGCATTCTTAGTGTAGCTTAATTGTTTTAAGAGTAATTATTATTATGTATATGTAGCTGTTATTATTAATTAGTGAATTATGTTTGGAATTTGTCGGTCCTGATAATTAGACTCAAGTATATAAATGGTTGGATACGTTTCCTTTCACCTAATGCAGCTGTTCACCTAGTATCCGGGATTTAGGCAACTGTCTATGTTTCTGGATACTTCCTAAGTTTCTGACAATGTTGAACACACCAAACTTTTGAGAATTGCTTAGCAGGAAAGTATATCCTGCCATCACTAGATATTTATGTATTTATCGGGTATGCAAATTACCTGTGAGATGGAGTAATGTCCTTTCTGAATTAAACATTTTCCTTAAAAATGGAGGCAAACAAGGTGCTGTTCATAGTGTAATTTTGTTTGTTGTTTATATTTTTCTATGGTAAAAAAAAGAGTTAAGGGTAAGAGGGTAAGAAAAAAAGAGCCAGTGGGGCTGGCTGACGCATAGGAAGTTCAAAAGCCAATGTTTTCTGTTATGCTGATGATCTAGTTCTATTCCCACCCACCAACGGTGCTATGGAAAATTTAATAGAAAAAATGTAAAATATATAGTACTGTACGTTCAGTCCTGCAAAATGTGCTATGGTTTCTTTTATCATGCAGGACTCGTTTTAACGAGATCCCAACCTAAAATTAACAGGAAGAGAAATTCCAGTAAAGTCCTCTGAAAAACATCTGGGGCATATTATATCCTCACAGGCCCCACGTGTCAGTTTTCCTGAAGCCAATGGAGACCTGGATGTGTGGTCGAAAATTAAAGTTATTTAAGAGTCAGTGTCTAAGCTTGTATGGATATGAACTATGGGACCTGCAAAATGATGACCTTGGCAAGCTTAATTGTGAATGGAGGAAATATTCAAGACGTACCTTGGGTGTCCATCTCGCACTCACTGCCATCTCCTGCTTGGTCTGATGTCCATATTCAAACTTGATGAAATAATTCAGAAACGAATGATATAATTTTGTATGAAAGGAATCGCCCATCAAATAAACTCAACCAACTCTTTTTCAGGAACTCGCTTGTCACTGGCACACTTATCCAGAAATATAAACTAAATTGTTAGGAAATACAACTTAGAATGAGAGATATATGTATAATGGTGTAGCAGGTCTACAGGATAGGATACCACAGCTCACCAGCAGAGAAAACAGGGAAACCTCCAACTTCAAATTTGTAATTATGAAAGAACTACTGTCACACAGAGAGAAACTACTGGCAGACATTTTGTAACCAATTGAAGTTAGATTGATGTTAAATGAGCTGTGTGTTTGAAGTGATTTTGAACCGGGAGCCCCAGAATCTGATGATGAAGAATGCTGAGTGTGTGCAAATGTCTACGTCATGGTATGATTAGTTTATATTAGTCATACTTTTCTAATTGTCTCATCATCCTAATTTTGTGATATAAATTGTCTTACCGCTCTAATGGTAAGCCTCACTTTGTCTTTACAATACATCATTTTTCAAATTGTTACAGATTCAGTTTGTGATTCTGATAACTGATAACGACAATGTTTACGCGCTGTGTTGCTATTGTGACTTTATAATTAATGTGCTGTATTTTATGTAAACTTCCCAATTATAAATGTACTGCCGTTTATGAATAAAGTATTTTAGTTTACTTAATTTGTTGTGGGTTACTTACTGAGGAGGATCTGTAGTTTGACCTTAACTTGTAGGCCACAACCCATCCTCCTGAAATGTAGTACTTATAGTAACTATTTGATCGAAGGAATTAATATGCACTGATGAACCAGTAATTCACTTTTTGTACTTTTAATTTTATATAGTGCGGGAAAACGTAAAGCTTAAAACCAGCCAAAACATTCCAAGACCACGTAAAGTACAATTTATGTACTATATTTGGCCTCAGATAGCGTGTATTAGGCTAAGAGAGAGATTAAGTTAGTCTATATCTATGTTGCAGTTAAAAAAAATCCTATTTGGCCAAATTCAATATTACAAAACGTCAATTTTGTTTAGTATTCCGTCACTATATATTGATATTTTCGAGCAAATAGTTACTGTAAGTGCTATCATCTTCTGAGGATAGGTTATAGTGGGTGGTACGGTCACCTAGTGGGAATATCGTGTGTGATTCTTGCTGTAAACGGAGATGATAGGCTGCCCAAGAAGAGGCAATACACATCATTCTACATCTCTTCTCACACACATTCCATATTATGTATTGTCAAGTAAATATGACAGGCACACTGCCACGATAGCCCACTAGGGCTCGCACAGTATGCTCAAGATGGCTCTATATACCCCTGGACTCGCACAGTATACTCAAGATGGCTCTATACCCCTGGACTCGCACAGTATGCTCAATATGGCTCTATACCCCTGGACTCACACAGTATGCTCAAGATGGCTCTATACACCCCTGGGCTCGCACGGTATGCTCAAGATGGCTCTATATGCCCCGGGGCCTACACAGTATACTCAAGATGGCTCTATATACCCCTGGGCTCGCACGGTATGCTCAAGATGGCTCTATATACCCCTGGGCTCTCACAATTTGCATAAGATGGCTTTAGAAATTTACCTAAGGGCCCCACTAGTGGCCTCGACGAGGACAGGAGGCCGGCGGCTTGTCGAAGGCTCCCCCCCACCCACTTCCCCCATTGTTGTTGAGGATCTTTTTCCAACTGGCTTTTGAAAGGAAACAATGTCTTGACATTTACGGCTTCAGTAGGTAGGTTGTTCCATAGGTTTATGGGCGAAATGCATCTCCTGTTTAGTCCTTCATTGTGACTTGTTGAGCTTGAAGCCGTTGTCCCTTGTATGTGTTACATTTAACCTTTTAACAAAAGCTGTCTTGACTAATATCCTACAAGTAGTTCATTATTTTTAAAGGCCTCGGTGAGATATATATCAGCCCTGTTAAGTCTGGTTTGTAGTGTTGTCCTGTGGCCCTCAACTGTTCCTGGCATGAGAGTTGACCTACGTTGATTCATTGTTACATCAGCGTCAGTTCCCCAGATATGACCGAGAAACCAGTGTTTAATTTCTATCACTATGGGATGAGAAACGTTAATAGACTCCACAGACATGTAGGCTCTGCTAGAGTCAACCAGGGTAGATACTGGTGTGGAGACAGGTTGTTGATTTATGAAGCAAATTACCGGGTAATATTATACGTGGGACCACTTCATTGTTTCAATCGTAGGTTAGACATATATATGCATGATTTGGTCGTGTATAAATAGGCGCTGTCTCGTAGGAGCCAATAGTCCTACGGTTTTCTAAGTTTGCATATTCTTGTGATTTTAACTACAATAACAAACGATTGTTGGCTCATCAAGAGCAACTCTTTCATAAAATATTTAATTGCTTCAAGTTCTACATTAAACATACTTGACTCTTGGGGAAAAGCAACGTTAGTAAAAAAAAGGCTTCACTGCCCGTGTCCTTGGCGGACCACTTAAACTGTTCCACTCATGTACTGTAAACACAAATGGTTGACAACACTTCTTGTTTGATCCCAGGAAGATCAGTCTATATAGGGTTCCAGCTTGTCTCTAGTAATGACTTGTTTTATCACCGCAGCAATTTTCAAAACAGAAAACCTATTCAAAATACTCTGGGCGCTTAAGTGACTCCCGAGACCCTAATAACTGCTAAAATTAGGATTTTGAGGCACACTGAAGCACGCCAGGGGCAGCCATTAGAATAATGAAATTCGTGTGCGATGAAGACGATAGAGTGATGGGCCTCGTATGTAGCGAAGATGTAGCCCTTGTTCTTCACAAGGTACCTCAACAAGTTTATATTAAAACTTGACTTTAAATACTTGAACTGCGATGTGTGACAACACTTTCCCAAGAAGGTCTTCATTTTTTCTGATGTTAATGATCAGATATGTTAATCTTTCTTGTTATCGAGCACCACACAAAAAACAAATTATCGATGAGGTTTGTTATTTGTAATCACAACAGATAGACGATGAAAAACAAGAGAAGTGCGATAATACGGCAGCTGATGAGATGGTTGCTTATATATTGGGGCCGACAGCTTGCTCGGTGGTCTTAGTCTGCTGGCTGCGCGCTGACAGACGTGTGTCCTGGGACTGTGCGCAGGTCCTCCCGCCACACTTACTACATCAATGAGTTTCAAGGTGGGATCAAAGGTGTACTTATTTGACGCAATAATACGGCATTCCTCTTTACTGTTCCTTGACACAGGATAATTGCACATACATTTGTAACGTTAACCCCCCCCCCCTTGTTTTGTTTGATTGTTGCCGCCGAAGGTGGCTAGTTTATTGTGCACCCCATACTCATCCTGTGAGCGGTAGCGCAAAAGCATTACAGAGGGCACAAAAGGTCTTTATCAGACCTCATCTTAGATTATTACATAAACAATTTCCCCCCCCCCTCTTGTCATCAGTCCTGGCCTTTGCAATAAAAACATTTGTAAAATTAATATTTACTAGGTGGACCTAAATGCATATACTCGGGACACTATAAACTCGGGAGTTTAGTCCTTTTCCTCACTTTTCTACAGGGAGGGAAAGAGGCTAACTATTCTACAAGGCCCTACTTCACACACCCTCCCCACGCTGTCCACTTCAACCTTTCTCACATCCTACTCCTTTACACACCTACACCCTTCATATTCCTTCACCATCTTCTATACCCTTTCTCCCCCATGCTCCTTAAAATACCCCCAACCCACGATAATTTGTTATTTAAATTTAAAGGCCAAATCCTTTATGCGGCGCTCCAACATCTTCATATATACATAATAATATATACCAAATATGTGTAGGCTCCATAAAAGTAAATATATGGTAAGTTGTACTTTCAATATCGGCCTTGAAAGGACAAGTTACAATAATTGTGTTCGAGTGTGTTTATGTATAAGTGAGTGAAGTCGTACTGTTGTTGTTGTTTTAGATTTAGCTATTCAGAACGAAATGCCCATGTATCACGGACTATAGTAAAGTATAGTAAGTGAAGTCATACGCAAGTGGACGTATTGTGTTAATTTTTCAACCATCAACTACGTTACCGAATAACTGGCAGCAAACTCGCCTTATACACCTTACCGCCTGACGATTAAATCAGACCTGAACGTTGTGAGGGTTTGCTGCTATAATGAGCTGTCAGTCGCTAGGCGTACAACCCTTTGACGTCTTCCCTAACATCACTCAGATGTTCTTACGCATTCCCCTAACACCACTCTGGTGTGATTACACCTTCCCTAACATAGCTCTGGTATGGTTACAGGCAGCAGTGGTGGGGGTGTTGGCGGTGGTGGCGGCTGTGGGAGTCTACGCAGAGCCTCGCTACGCCAGGCCTGGAGGTAAACTACTTTATATTCAAAATTACCATTTGGTTAACAACAGCTTCCAAATATACGTGCATGCAATTTATATCCACTGCCTAAAACCTGTGATGGTAGTTAATATACAGGATCGGTAACAACATTTCCCACTTCAGATCATGAGCCACAGGTGTACGGCAGCAGTGCCCAGCCAGAGCGTCTGGCTCGACGGGTCTGTTACTACGAGACGTGGGCCGTCCATCGTCCTGAGGAGGTGCACTATGACATAGAGGACATCCCCGCTGACCTCTGTACTCACCTCATCTACTCCTTCTGTGGGGTTTCCAATGTTACTTGGGAGGTCATGGTCCTGGACCCTGAGGTGAGATGCTAACATCTTTCGTGGTGAAATGACTCGTTATATTAGACAAATCTTGTGTATATCTATATATCTTGTGTTATAAAAGATACGAGTCTCGTCAGATTGTGATGCAGAGATAAGTCTTACTGGGATGAGCGGTTATAATTTAAAGCTTATTGACATGGTATAAAGATGTGAATCTAAGGATTCATTAGGTTCTGCTTTATTCAAACTAACTAAGAGTTCATAACAATTCTAAATAAATTGCTCGAGCTAGAAACACAATAAATTTATATTTGATGTTTACGTCAGAAACAACTTACTTTTATTTTAATAAATAGATTCTAAATACTGAGGGGGGGGGGTATTATTGAAGTTATTACCAAGAATTTCATTAGAATAGATTGTATGATGACAGGTCTTTCCTTGAGCGACTCTGCTGAATTATTTTCTTGGTGGACGAGCTAGGCGCCAGAGCTATGACATTCAAACGACCACATTTGCAATAGCTTTGTCTCTTGTGCCTTGACAGCTGGACATCAACGCCAACGGCTACCGTCGCTTCGTAGCTCTCAAGGAGAAGTATCCTGACTTGAAGACGATGATCGCCGTGGGTGGTTGGGCCGAGGGAGGCAAAAAGTACTCACAGATGGTCTCCGTGGACGAGCGCCGACACACCTTCGTCAGGAGCGTTGTCCGTGAGTACTGGTGATGCAGCCCGTCCTGTTGTTGTTTTAGATTCAGCTACTGGGAACAAAAGTTCCAAGTAGTACGGGCCATGGTGAGCCCGTAGTTACGGTGAGCCAGGTGACCCTGTGACTTACCTGACACAGGAGCGGGGCTGTGTGCGCGCAGCCCGTCCTCTCCAGTTGACACCTGTGTTGGGGCAGTTGTATTAAATTTCCCTATCCCAATCTAACCGGGGACCCCACGAATAGAGAGTAACAGCCCATCAATTTTGCGAGCCACTATGTTTTATAGTACAATACATCATATTTAAGCCATTGGGAATTTATCCGTCAAAATATGATGTACAATTCGAGGGGACAGGTTAGGTGATGACCGTGTACTATGGATAACCTACATTGTCAGTACTCTCGAGGAGCCCTCAATGTTTGGACGGAAAACTTTGTATATAACCAATTAATGTTACTTGCTGTTATAATTAAGGATAAGCAAGAGAAGGTTGGACATATATATGGGTGAGTGTGGGTGGATATAAATAGGTGTTGCCGCGTACAAACCAATAGGTTTCCGCAGTCGCCTTTATTCTTAATTAGTTTTCCATAAACTGACGGCAGTAACAATATCCCCACAGAGCTGCTGACAGACTACGGGTTTGACGGGTTTGACCTTGACTGGGAGTACCCAGGAGCGATGGACCGCGGTGGTGCAATGGCTGATAAGGACAATTACTTAAAATTGGTAAGTGTTTATAGTTTCAAGTGAACATATCCTAATGTACCACCACAAATATTTCATGTTCGATCATTTAAATTTACTGAAACTATTTACAATTTTAGGTTCAAGAGCTTCGAGCTGCATTTGACTCGGTGGGTGCTGGGTGGGACCTGACGGCAGCGGTGCCTATAGCCAAGTTTAGGCTACAGGAGGGCTACCATGTGCCGGAACTGTGCAGGTATGTTGTTGTAGGAAATTCTCTCTGTATTATGCACCCCATACCCGTCCCGTGGGCGGTGCTGGAATGGGTTACAGAGCCATATAATCGGTCGTTTCACTTTTGCCGTAGGTTAACACGTTCCTCGCACTGACATATAATCCTTTTTCGTGTAAATTATGGCAAAAGGTTTTACATAACACCACTGTATCATTCTAAGTGTTATATCCACTGGAATAATGTTTTGGAGTGTACCACATACAGCCTGTTGGACGCCATCCACATGATGACATACGACCTGCGAGGCAACTGGTGTGGGTTCGCCGACGTCCACTCCATGCTGTACATGCGCCCCGGCCTTGACGAATGGTCCTACGAGACACTCAATGATGTAAGTTCAATTTATTATGGCCCACATAATCATCTTGTGGGCAGTGGCGGGAAGGTTAGTCCACGTAACAGGTTAAGGACCTAGAGCTCAATGCTCTAAGCAATTAACTTGCGTCCAATAAATCCTCCCCGGCCAGGATAAGAACCCAGGACAAATCGCTTGCAAAGGGCCGGGCGAGCATTTTAGTACTGTGCCACGGGAGACTGCCCTGGCACAGTGGTTAACTAGTATGTTAACTAATTAACCACTAGTTAGTCTAGTGAACTACTAGACTGGCGTTGTTAACTAGTTATAAACGCTCTTCGTCGACCACTCACATCACTAGTTAGGTTTTGAAGAAAATTTATGCTAATAATTATTATATTCAACACCGGCTAGTTGTCTTCACGGGCACACCCAAGGGTTCGGGGATATCGATAAGGTACGGCTGCTTTCCTCTTGGAAAATTATGTACAACCGCATATCAGTTTCATAACTAACAAAAACACAAACTAATATAGTTTCTAGTTTCTTGACAACGCCAACGTATAAATATAAATATATTGTACCGTAGTGGTAAATATTTATTTACCCAGTAAAAACTTTCAATGTTATAAATTTGTTTTACACAAACATCTACCATAATTCTTTGTTTATGTTTTTCCCAACTTCCTGTTCACAATAGTCTTCCCGACACTACAGAACGATGGGGTCCTGCTGTGGGAGGAATTCGGGTGTTACCGTGACAAACTAGTGCTGGGTACTCCCTTCTACGGGCGCACATACACTCTTGGTAGCCCCGACAACAACGGCCTCCACGCCCCCGTCAAGAAGTGGGAAGGCGGCGGAAAGCCTGGACCATACACCAACGCCACCGGAACCTTGGCGTACTTCGAGGTAATGCCTTTCAGTCGTACGTTTAATGCGCTATGCATAATCTTCTATGAAATATGTTTTGTGATAATTTGAGGTACACTGCTTGAGGATGATCACGTGACTAACGAAGGGTAACTCCTCTCTCAGATCTGCAAGATGATGGTTGACGACGCAGCCTGGGAAGACCGCTATGATGACGTCGGCCTCGTCCCATACACTACGAAAGGTAATCCAACGTCTTCGTTCTGAGTTTTAATTGTTATTTTATTTAATTGTTATTTATTTTAGATTTTCTTAATAGACAACAATGAAATCGAAAGCACTGACAATGAACTTGTGCCATATATCCAATCACTGTCTCACCAAATAGTTTTATATGGTTCTGATAATTAGCTTAGCTTTGAGGAGCCTCAGAGGAAGACTTCTTCAGGGTAACCTCTGGACTCGTGACCACTTTATGCTTTGTTATCAGAGAGAAGCTAGAACCTGCTAAATGAGACCGAAAGATTCGTGAGATTCATAAAGATATCAGAAAATCAGATTGTATATGGTGGCGGAAGTGGGTTAAAGCTAGTGAACCTGTTATTATGCTTTATATAATGTACGAAATATTAATGAGTGTTGCCGGCAGACGACCAGTGGGTTGGCTACGAGGACCCTGACAGCCTCAAGATCAAGATGGACTACATTAAGGACATGCATCTGCTCGGGGCCATGACCTGGGCCATAGACCAGGACGATTACCTGGGCTGGTGCAACAGAGGAAAGAATCCTATGATGACGTAAGATATATTTATATTAGATCCTTTGAATCTCTTCCAACTCTGAAGTCGGACAAAAGCTAAGAATGCAGCCTATCCTCTAAACAAAGGTCAAAAGTCTATTCCGAGGACGGGTTGCGTCAATAACGTAGTCAAAATGCTTGGCCACCTCCCCCTTTTTACAAATAATGTTTGATTTATTGCATTTCACTTCATGACCTTTACATTAGAACCAAAACACTAGACCTAATCTTCCTTACGCCTAATTATATATAAAACTACAATGTATAATATTCATATATATTTTAGTAAATGCCATAGAATAGAACAGCGGAGCATGGACGGGCCCAGCCAGAGGATGGGTTGTACTCTGGAGCGTCCACTTTATGCTATTAGTGATTGGTGAAGATTAAGCTACCCAAGAGGTGGCAGGGGCATGAATAGCTCCCAAGTCGTAGATTTGTTTTGGAAGTGACTGATCTTAGGTCGTAGTGAGGTGAACTGCCCATCATATAGGCAGTACTCAAGAAGGTACAAATAATTCCATTGATTGGGACAGGAAGCTTGTACTAAGGATTATCGAGATTGCCCTTGGATGCAACCCATAACAGTTGCTTTACTCCTAGATATATATTTAATTGCTAGGTGAACAGAGGCATCATGTGAAAGGAAACGTGCTCATCCGTTTCTTTTCTGACAGCCCGGGGATTGAACCCATGTCCCTTGATTGTGAGCCATGGACGTAGAGCACTGTGCTACAGTTCTCCCCGAACTACTGTGTCTACAACAATTTGAAATCTCACGGTAATAATGTTACAATACTAAGTTAATTTTGCAGTACAAAATTTGTTACAATGTGTCATTGGCTTTCTGGACACCAGTCTAACCCCCTCACCCAGCACTAGACCAAGATACGCGCTCTTCCCATGCTCAAATATACAAAATATCAAGAATTAAATTTATTAAGACTGTATGCATTGACTCCTGTAACGATTCATAATCCTAGGTTGCCGGGTTAAGAATATCTAATTACACCAGTTTATAACACTAAGCAATAGTAATTTTCTTATACCAAGACTCGTCTTAAGCAACGATTTAAAATACACGTGGTTGAATCTAAGAAAATAGTCTTTGGGCGGCCATGTTTCATCCCACGGAATAAACATTTCAGCTCAAATTCTCCTGTAGGTCAGAGAGATTAAAATACGAACTAGTGGGGCTTTCTTCCCTTCCAGCCTAATGAAATCGTCAATTTCCAGCCAATAGAGATTCACAATTTCCAGATTATAGAAAGAGGAATTTCACAAAAACACACGATGTAGGAGACGGAGGTTAGGAGCTAGACCTCACTTCCAGCAAGCAAACAAAATGAATACCATGCACTTGCTTAATAAATGGAAGAGGACTGGTGTGTGGTATAGCTGCCGACTTTGGAACAATGGTATCATGTTTGTCTTTTGTTATGTTGCAGAGTAATCTACGAGGGTATGAAGGACTATATCGTGCCAGTCTCTCCTACAACCACTCCCACGACAACGGTGAGTCCTTTAAGTTTAACGTCCAGTAGGAGTCAGGGTAAAACTGGCGCTTTTTTATACGAGAAAAATAAGACATAAGGCGAGTGATTTCAAAGGTATCAGATTCGTCATGGATTTTATCGAGGGACAAACGATTCAGACATATTGGCAAAGATTTCCAATCATCCTTGAAATCAGGATATTCTAGTGGGTCAAGTCAATTATTATCAAACCACATGAGAGGAAATGTCAACACTGGAGAAATGCCCAACAGACCACTGGAACATTGTCTAACACAGCAGTTACAAAGCAAATAGGATTTCAACCAAGATTCAACAGAGCAGTTGTTGCTAAACACATTAGGCATAATCTTACCGAGGCGAACACACGAGTCATAAATACAACGCCAAAGTAAGACAAAAACGAGTAACACTTAGTGGGCCAGCCAGAGGCTTAGGCCCCGCGCAGGAATACCCCTGAAAAAAAAAACTGACCAATAGTTATTCCGCACAATGCAAGTATAGAACATGACGCAAAGTATACAGAGGCAAAATAAAAGTGATTTTCAGTTACAAAAATAAATTTGACATTGTGTATCAGAGAAAAGATCATGTATAAAGCGTAGTTATTTAATCTTTATTAGACCCGCTGTAAGTAGTGCAAGGTGCATATATATCAGAGACAGGAAGGGGCCTGTAATAATGAACATAAAATGTCACGTCAGATAAACTGTAAGCAAATATGAACTTCATACAAGAACATAAGTGAAACCGATCAACATATTTTCTGATGATTCTGCTATAATTTATCCAATAACTGTGGCTATAAAAGGAAAATATTACATTATAGAACTTCAGTGCCTGTCAAACTATATAATTTTTGTTAATCTTGGTTCCTTTATATCTTAAGGGGCAATATCTCTAGCTTCTTTGCATGTTATAAAATCCCTTTTCTCGTATTTCCTCCTTCAGTTTTAATTTTAATTTAAGAGATCTCTGGTACTTATTTTCATGGAATACTAGACTTTAAAAATCTCTTTTCCTACAAATACGGCTAATACAGTGGTCACTTGCCCCCTTGGCATTTCATATTTAATGCTCTCAATGTCAATCTCGCTCTGTGTGAAGACCAATTCTAGCCTCCAGTGTGTGCATATACTAAGTAACACTAAGTAAACATGATAATTGTTGTTCGGCAGAGTCCTTGGTGGACACCACCTACTACCACCACCACCACTAGGGACCCCAGCGCCCCCACCACCACAACCACCACAAGGGACCCCAACGCACCCACAACTACGTTGGGTCCCGTAGACTGTAACGTGCAGGACTACTGGCCTCACCCTGACTGTGATAAGGTGAGTAACAATATTGCATCAGACAAAACGGCAATTCTCAGATACTTGCACTTCTCTTTTTCAATCAGACATGGAGTATTAAGAAATTAAGTCAAATTCACGCTATGTTACGTTCCTTCGGTAATACAATCAAGGCTTCAGGATACCACCATAGATCGCCTGTACTAGCGTGTATGTATATACACGCTAGTATAGCGTGTATATACATACACGCGTATGTATATAGCGTGACAACAAAACTTGCATAATGAAAGATATTTTAAAAAATGTGTAATGCAAGGAACATTTTTTTCAGTATTACTGGTGCTTCGATGGAGTGCCCCACCTAGAGGAGTGTCCGGCCGGTACGTACTGGAGTCAGGCCAACAAGATCTGTGACTGGCCACAGAACGTCGACACCTCTGACTGCAACATTCCTGCCCTAAAGAGAGACCTTCACCCCAAGGCCAACTCCAACATCGCTCCTCCTCAGGTCAAAGGCAAACCCGCTCCTGCTCACCCCAAAGTCAAGCCTGCTGCTCCTCAGCCCAAAGCTAAGCCCGCTCCATCCCACCCCAAGGCCAGCCACGACGCAAAAACTGAAAAGGCCCCACCTATTGTAAAAAGGTTGAGGAACCAGCTACCATAGCTACTATGGCGGAATATTGTGCTTTACTAGAGCAACTTTATATAATAAAAATGTACCTGCATTATGCTAATTCATTTATAAAATTAGTCTTAAAATATAAATGTTAATGTATTGCTGATAACTTTACTTTTCCTATATACTGAAATTTTAACACTAACAATTATACATGCATGTTTTGTTGGTCCTTAACAACTCTTACTCAAAACCATTCGAAAATTGAAGATTGTGGGTTCCGTTATGAATGACAGGGCATAAATGCGGGAAAGGAACATCTTTATGGGAGATGGGACATGCATGAACGACCTCCTTAGCAATCGAGTTCGCGAGTTCATTCAAGATAACACCAATATGACTGGTATGTAGCAAACTTCGATGGTCTTACATCTGCAATAGATGACACACAGTCAGTATTGGATTTTGAAATCCACAATGAGAAAGGAACGTTGACGCCTAAAAAGGAGCTGATGAAGGGCAAGAAGGACACACGTGCATGCAGATTTAGATTAGAAGGTGGAGGCCAAGAGGACTCTGGTAAGGGAAGCTGCACAAGCATCACAATTGTCAGACTCCAGAACACAGACGTCATTATATCATACTTAGGTGGGTTAGACCATATAAAATACACTTATTTACCAGTTTTGAAAGTTCTCCTACACCTGAAACCCAGAGAAGCTAGGTCATACAAACGTAGGTGGCTTTATCTCGTAATATGGGCAAACATCACGGAACAGGGTGACACAATATCAGCATTCTATCAATATATCTTGATAATATTAAATCAATGTGCTATCAGCTTTTGAAGATATCTTCGAGACTGACCACCAACTGACAAGCTCTCATACTAATGGTAGCTAGTCAAAATCTTATTTGTAGCTGATTGAAGTTACTGGTAGTTGGCCAAGGTCATATTCGTATATGGTCAGCCACACTAGCTTGCCAAGACTACTTGTAGTTAGCACAAGGTCACGTCAGCAATAAACAGACAGACTAAGAATGGATAAAATTCCTAAATTGGTCACAGGTAAGTAAATTGTCAAATACTTAAAAGTCTACATTAAAATAACACAAGATACAAGATCTTGTACAAAATACTTGGATACAAAATCTAAGAGGCGCTTAAAATCAGGAAGAGATCAGAAGAACAAAAAACTGATTTGAGAGCTGGGTAAGGGGCAGCAGAATACACAGGTGTAAACTGGGTAAGGGAAGGAGTTAAGGCTTAACTGGTAGTACATAGCTAACGAAGCTAGCCAGGGAAAAAAGGAGACCTTGTAATTCAAGAATTTTCTTTGTTTCTGGATTTGGAACACTATAAATTTTTAGGTAAACAATGGACTGCTCATCAAGCAGTGTTGACATGATTTGTAGCAGGAAAGGTGACAGTCGCCAGTTAGTACACAACTTGACCGTCTACATTGGCAAGATCTGGTTGACTACAAATAGGAAAACAGTAGGCCAGTTAGGGCTGACCTTCGTACGCCGGCCATATTTCTAACTGGTAGAATGTAGAATATTGATGAATGGATAGAAGTACTGTAATTCCGGAACATTAAGGATACTTCCTCCAAAACCCACGGTGGCTTGAAGGCCTTGGCTGTGAGGTGACTTCATCCTGGCAGTCATTTAAAGGGTTCCCCAAAGACGACTTGAACAAGGATAACTGCAGACAAGACTGCTAATGAATGTTTATGATAATTACTGGGTTGTCGTATCTAAACAAGTTGCCACATGATCAGTCTTTTATGTAGCTTTAATTTCGATAATATAGATACCTGAACATTGTAAACATAATTTAACAGATACCAAAATAACAACCCATCCTTCTGTTTAGATAGTACTTTTTGTAACTATGTGCCCATAACTTTTTGTAACTATGTGCCCATAACTTTTTGTAACTATGTGCCCATAACTTTTTGTAACTATGTGCCCATAACTATGTGCACCATAGTACAAACATTGAAAAACTAAGCAATTAGAATTTTGTACTATTCACTTTATAGTCCAAAAAAGGAAGCTAAAAGCAAACTTAAATATTCCTAGGCCTAGAATAGCACACACGTAGTATATTCTCAGGCCTCAGATAGCATGTAGTAGGCCTAGGAAGGTTACTTTAGTTTGTCTTTGCAACAAATGGAAAATCTTTTTCCGGTTTGTGCAAATTCAAAAGAACCTATTTCTACTTTTCTAATTGTGTTGTGCATCGGTATATGTACAATGGTCCTCATTGTTACTATAAGTACTTCCAAAACAGGAGGATGTCCTGAATATAATACCAGCCTTGACTCACATCTCGGAGGTCAACCTAACCCCACCGAACTGAAGAATCCATAGACAGCACAACCATGAAATTACTGTATATTTTCATGGACAATTGCAAAAAAACATTAATCACAGTGTTAAAACACTATTCTGGAGACAGCTTAGATACTAGTAACATTCCTGACACACTAAAAACAGCACAGACTGCACAACTGAAGAACAGTAGATGCACAAAATTAGACAACTATGATATGTTTTGCATTCTTTGGAAGACATGTAATAAACAGAACAGACTTCATGAAGGCTTTCAACAAATATGACCATGATGTAAAAATTCCTTAAAATGAGCATGAAGCATTAACTGCAAACCTGTATGATGCATCTTTGAAGTCCTAACATACAGAACTTTTTGTAAGAACTTGTAAGCCAACAAAGTGCAATCAGGATCATCAAAATCTCGTTCCCAAAACACTGCACTTGCTCCAGTACTCTCTCTCGCTTTCATATCTCCAACTTCCAAACTGATATAAATCATGTCTTTCAATATGCCACAAAGAACATGTTTAAGAAAATTAAGTCCCAGATCCTACGTGGCAAAATCGAAGAAACTAAAACAAGAGCCACATACATCAAGTAGTCAGATCACACAATAGTGTAGAATGACAATCATGGGCTCAATGTAATGAAATGTCCTTTATTGTTTGGTCCCCTAGTGAACTTGACTCTGGTACAACCAAACCTCTTTTAGACCCTTCCATACTCTACTGGAGCCAGGACCACAATGTGGCCCACTACACAAGGGAAAGTGGACCAGAAATCGGCCACAACACTAGCAAAATCCATGGAAAGCATAAATGCAATAAAGCAAGAAACTACTACTTGAAGGAAATTAGGTAAACAAGGCAATTCATTAAGAGTGCACCCATGGGGGATTAATTCACAAAAGCAGCAGCACTGGCAATGGCAATATTGGTAAAAAAAATTAAGGAATATTTCAAGCCAAAAGTGTGGGGGGGGGATGATTATTTAACATGCATTATGAATATTCAAGAAATAACAATTTATAGATTGAAATGAGCATAAATAGAATGGTTGCTTGTCGTGGAAGGAAGGAAAGGGAAAACTCATTCTATATTTAAATTGTAATGACAATAAGACTACTGTTTAAAAGGTAGAAACATTGCTTAAGTGGGGAAATCATGAAATTTACTCAGGACCAGCAGATATATAGATATCAATACCTATTTCATGTGGTGTGGAGGATTAGCTCAAGAAAACAGGTGAGTATGGTACAGAAAAGGGTTATGATATTAAATAGACATTAAATAAATTGCCTGTCCATTCATTACATCATTTACAATACATTATATAACATCACATTACAGCAGTCATCCATCAATCAAGGGCTGAAAGGCAGGACCCAAGAGGATGATGGCTCATCCTCCACAAATACAACTAGACCAGTACCCACAGCAGCAACTTGCCACATCATAAGACATTCAGAGAAAAAATAAAGGAAGTGTAAAAGAAACAGTACCAAAAACTGGAGCCAACTCAGTCATCTGCAAAATTTGCATTTGGTGGTGCATTATAGCAAAGCTGAAGTGGCAGGTCTTACAAGGGTCAAGCATGGGGCAGGGATGGTGCAGACAGATGAATATAAAATAACCAAGACATCACAAAGTTCTACAAGGACTGATGTGATTAAAGGCTAACTAACAATGTCTTACCTTTGGATGTAGAAGAGGTTTTCCTCTTGTAGCTGGGAGATGGAGGAGCAGAGTGCAGGTGCATGACCAGGATACAAATGTCATGGAAGTAAGCTGTTATAGCAATTCAGGACGGGTACATTGGCACTAGAATGTGAGGCAAGAAGTGATAGCCGAGGTATTGCACGAGCAGTGTCGGCATATGTTAGCGAGGCAAACTTGTTTAAATTTGTCTCACTTCAATGAAATTGTCCTCAAGTTAAGTCGCAGGAGGGATTGTTGTAATATAAAATGGTCAAGGTGTTAGAATAAGTAAAATGAATGCCACAATTTATGCAGTAAGCTAGCCGGCTTGCACAGGTCGATTTAAAGTGGCTGGACTTACCACAGCAGGGAAAAAAAAAAAAGATTCACAAGACTCCAACAAATTGGAATACTAAATGAGAAACATCCAACAAGCATTGTACAGGCATGGAGGTAAAAATTCCATCATAACATTTAACTTCTTCCCAGGAGGAATCACCGAGAATGAGAGGGCTCTACCATAATAAATAATGTCGCTGTCATAGTATCAAGATTGCAAGAACACACTAAAAGGGAATATTCCCTACAAGCCCTGCCTCCAACAGATAGAGAACAATGACATTTTCTCATATTTAAGAGCTCCTTACTTCTGGTAATTGTCATGAAGCCTTATTAAGCCTACTGGTACTGGGATTTAGTAGCACTAACATTCGGACTGAAAGGCAACATTAGTAACTGTGTAATTTGTCAATATACAGCATCAAATCTGCTGTAACAATCATGTAAAAAGTAACTAACGTTCATGAAAAGTTACTTTGCTCTATACAACATACCGGGCTCAATATTAAGGACGCCAACGTCCCCTCCCAACCAAAGTAGTAGTGAAACGAACGTCAGGGCAACAGAGGAGCAGACCAGGCTATTTCCAGAGGGTGGAGCAGAAGCAATCATGTCCATAGAAGTTATCTGGAAGCAATTGTAGCTATAAACAAAATTTATTTCAATCTTGAAACTAGAGGTATTCAATGCAGTGCTGCAAAGTGGAATAAGAATTTTTGGCAGTGTCAAATTTCTTTACATTAAATGACTGAGTTAACCTAGCATGACAATATGCCGGAAAGTTTAAGCTTATTTTTTTTTCAATTTTGACAACAGGATAAATGCAATTGGAAATATGTCTTACAGGACAACTTTTATTACTGGATTGCTACCAACTATACTTTCAACCACAGAAAAAAGATTGAATATATTAGCAGGCAGTAGTCATGAAAGAAATAGGATAAGAGAGCACGCCTGAATGCAAGATTTCGCTGCTTTACCAGTCATTTCATTGGATACAATACCATCACTACGTACCCAGCAAACTCCACGTGTTAGTTTACTAAAAAGATACTAAAGTCAATATTGAAAAGCCAGTAAAGCTACAGTAAAAACAAAAAATCATGTAACACACTGAGGAGTAGTGTTATTTTGGAAAACAACCAACAATTAGTACAATAAGGGGAGCATCGGTTAAGGTCCACTGCACAACCCGCAAACACTTCCTCGTGCATGAGAGGAACAGATTTTCCAGTCAAGATGTGTGCCCCTGGTTGGCCACACACTAGTCTCAGTGCAAATGAATGTGAGGCATACATATAATAAGGACTTTTCCTAAAGTTCCTATTAAAGTGGCAGGAGGACAAGTAAGTATGTATCAAAAGCAGGCATGAAGCCGGGAAGACTATGTAGCACCATCAAATGTGCGGAATAATCAGAGGGCGCTAAATATCACTAAGGATGTCAATATGAGAACAAAAATGCATAAGACGAACGATATCAAAAGCATCCAATTCACCAAGAATTTTATCGAGGGACATCCACAGAGATAGGTCATAAAGATAGTGCTGTACAGTAAAGTATCTACAGTAATAATCTAGTGTATTAAGTTAATACACAAAGTATCAACATTGTATCTACACCTGAAAAAGTTCATCAATTCACTCTTCAACAGTTGCAGACTGCATTATTAATGACAAGATAGAAATCAGAATAATGACTTGGTTTTTGAGAGATGGGATAGTTACAACGTGCCTCTTTAGTGGCAGAGTCTACAAGGTCATTAGAGGCAACACTAATATGACCAGGAACCCTGCACAAACAGACCATCTCAATTCTACTAAATATGAAATTAACTTAAAAAATACCTAGGTACAAATTTCCTTGGCAAGAGTTGCAGGCGGCTGGGCTAGACTAGCTGTGCCAGTGGTCCATGCAGTCTCATACTTTGGCAATGCTGGTTGTTTTCTGCTACTTGGTTTGCTCTACCTGCCAAATGTTCTATTTGTATTTTCATATTTTCTACTTTTAACTTCCTTGCTTGTACATAAAGTACTTGCTGCAGTTCAAGCATGTGGCAACACCTCCACTTTTAATAAAAACTCAGAAAGTTTAATCAGTTATTTTCCAAGTGTTTCTGATGTTTTAAAGTACCAAACCATTTGAAATGGAGAAGATTTTACATGTGGTTACCTCATCAAGGATGAAGATTTCCCAAACAAAATGAGTGAAGAACTTGTTTATCTTTAACAAGTAATGAGTAGCAGCCGAGCCATTCTTTTCCACTATTCCTGTTAAGGACTTCGGCATCAGAGGAGCCAATTACCACCTCAGGATGAAATCTAAATATTTAAGCATCGCAGACAACCTCCACCAATTTCGTAACCAACGAATATCAGCATTAACTCCAAAGACTGTCATTAGGACTTTTAGACAATTTATTAAAGGTGTACAATTTCAAAGTGAAAATATAAACAGTCAAAATATGACCAGTAGTTTGTTATCAATGTTGATTCCCTTAAAGGAGCACACACAAGTGTCACAAGTTTGTCTGAAAATGAAATATAAATTTAAAATTTTCTTGTTTCTTTGTGACCTGTACTGCACTACCATTAAAAAAAAAGGGAAGAAAAAAAAAAGGTAAAAGGGTACAAAGTAGAAATTGCCAGCTAGTTACACTGTAAACCTGGATACAAAAGTCTGCGTGTACACCACCAGGATCCTCTCACAAACCGTCAACATTTTTCTGTATTGACCAACTTGCGATTTAAAGATGCCATGATGTGCAAAATGAACCGTCCTTTCTGGTCTTAATTTTATTTTCCTTGTACTGTACCAGTCTCTTTCTTGACTCTGCTTTTCAAGCATTTTCTTGTGCACAAATGGTCACCAGGTTTGACTAGTGTCCCATATATAGGCACTAAATACCCAGATGTGAGTTGCACTTTCTTTCCTACGTTACCAAGTGGTCACACTTTTAGCTCTTAAGTCGTGCCTATGCATATATATTTTTTTTTTCCTTTTACAGACAATGCATCATTTCCACACAACTCCCCTTTTCTACACAAAAATACTGAGAAAAGTAAAACAAAGTTCCATATATATAAAAGTTATATGTGACTGAGAATGAAAATATTTCAACTTCATACAGAGCATTGCAAATTCATTTTACAATTACACCATGACTTTGTTTCCAATGCAAACAGGTTACAGAAGCACATGTAAAACTATATCTTATCCAGTTAGAACTTAATGCAAGATTGCTGAACCACTAACTTACTGTAAAAATGCACATTGTTAATCTACTTCAAAATTTTCAATGGATCCAAAAGCCTATAAACCATTCTCGTGTCCTGGAGCAGATTCCTTGCCCTTATACATCATGTGCTCACTGATTATTATCCTCTACATACAACCCTACATTTCTCAATTCCAGCCTTGTTAACAAGAGAATGGTTCAAGCCTGCGGTGAGAAAAGTTCCACAGCTGACATAACTTACCCATTACAGCCCTGTATCACCTAAAACACCAACTTTTGGTTCTGCTTACTTACTGTTCATTACTTTATAATACTTGGCAGTCTTTGCTTGTCTGCACTAAAACACTTTTAAAATGTTCCTAATTATCGAGTATAAAACAATTATATATATTTTTAGGTACAGGTTGTGCATTCAGGGGCAGGGGAAGTTTCTTGCTATTGTCTACTTTCTTTAATTAATCAATAATTTTCAAATCATGTACAATAAGGCTGTAAAACTTTTCATCATGACCACATTTTTCAAATAAATCAACAATACGCTCAATGTTCAGTGAAACCCGACTTAGTTAACATAGATTCCCAAGTGCTACTCACTACACATTATTTTCCAAAACTTTTACAACAGATAAACCATTAAAATCCTATCAGTCTTTAATTTTCAGGTATGTTATACAGGTCCTCTTCTCTTTCTCAGCATCATTTAGCTGTTGCAAGTAACCCCACTTGCAATGTTTTTTAGTAGTGGGCATCAACTGGGCTCCGACGTCCTCCATAAGATGAACTAGACAAAGAAGAGATAAAACTATGTCAACAACAATTAACGCAAGAACTTTCCTGAAAATGAAAAATTTTCAACTATGTAAATTAGTCAAGTACCATAACCAGTTTCAACAAAATACACTTTCCCATTTTCATAGCAAGTTTCCCTCGTTCATATTAAGAAACCGCCGTACATTTGGTGAATTGCTTCAAACACATTTCTGAGAATTACAATTACAACTGCTATTTCATGCCTACACTGACATTTGCTATGTTATATTCACTTGTAACACTTGTTTTCAAGTCAAGCAGTTTTCCAGTCACAAAATACTTGCCATATTTGTTATCAATTCAAGTTGATATTTGAACGATGCCATACATCATTCTACCTGGAGTATTCCTTGCGAGAGTAAGCCCGGTCTGGGCTATAGCCACGTGAGTCACGAGAGCGTGAGGTTCGGATGACCTCCCTGGATGAGGGAGGAGGAGAGGAGGCAGGGTAGTAGCGAGAAGAGCTGCCATACCCACCACCAATTGGCGACCGCGACCTGTAACCACGCTATTTATGTAACCGCAATACTGAAACTCCGCTTGTTTGTTTAGCGGACACTTCTCAGCTCTTAAATCACTGTTGTCTTCTCACAAACAAAAATAAACAAGAAATAAAACGTTTTATCAGGCAACCCAAGAAGCTAACACAAGTAGGCAAGGAGTCCATAAAGATGACTTTTTAGATGGATATATTGCTGAAGCTGGCACACAATCTTTGTGTTTGGAAAATTGACTCATCTGCCCACTTTTCTAGAGCGTTTTCAGCAGCTGGTTGGCTAACTTGTGCATTATCAAAGGCAGTACATCTTCTTCCCCCTTTGTTAAAAATTTTCTTTAGTACTTGTCAAATGAAGCCTGTATTGAGGTGTACGGTGCACAGTGAATAATTTCTTCCAACACTGGAACAAATATACAGAGTACCATTTTCCATACTAGCTTTTTTTCAGAATATTTCTTCAATCTATTTTTCACAGCTTTCTGATCTTGCTATTTTCAATAAGTGAAGCCACTTACAATTTTATTTGAATCACAAACTTAATAAATTATTCTATGCCTTATTTTGTACCAACTTAGAATTCCTTGTTTCAAATTCCTGATATTTCATTTACTGTATAAAATATGTGCATCCTTCCTTTCTACCTCCATTCCCAGTTGCAAATCTTCACTACTTCCTTTGCCATTTTCTCACTTCCTGTCAACAATGTTCATTGATAGCTGCACAACATATCACTGACTTCCTTTCCTTCACAGATTAGTTTGATCAGAGCAAAACTAAACTACATGTACTTCCAGAAAAATTTTCCAAATACAGAATACTTCTACGCCTTTCTTGGAGCTCTAAAAATGTCTCCACTATCTATGTTGCTTTTTTTCTTTACAATTTTTTTTTCAACTAATTAGGCTTGACTGCTTTCTCTACACAAAGAAGTGTTCTCAAACTTTCAATATTCCTCAAGTTAACATTTCAATATTCATTTGTATCCATCCATATCTTGCAAACCATACAAGTTTCAACTAATCCCTGCAGTAAAATTTTGTCTATCGCAAAGATCTACTTCACTCGGGCCATGTTATTCTTTCCAGTCAGCATTTTCAAATCTTCTATAATAAAAAAATAAAGGAAAATAAAAAAATGCACTTGACAATCAATATCTTTGCAAACTGATTCATCGGCTATTCACACAAATTATGAAACTGGTTTCTGATAAGCAATTATCCGACAATATAACAAGACACATTATTGACAACATAAGAATTGCTTCACATACCCTAAATTCTATACTATTTGGAATAGCTTATTAATTGCTAATTGCCATTATCTTACTGTAAACTGCCATAAAAGCCAACACCAATTTCTCATATCGTCTGCCTCTCAACTTTTTAATACTGTATGCATTCTAACTGCCACCTTTAAAATTGAACCGTTTTCTTTAGTTTAAAAAGTAAAAATTAAAATCATTTAATTACTCCATTCAAGAGATATTTTCTATATATTTAACTTATCAAACTTTTAAAGGCACATTATAGAAACTTTTCTGGGCACCAGTTACTAATTTCCTTATTCCTTACTTCCTTTCCTTGTCAACTTGTTGGGTTGCTCTTAAAAGCATGCAAACTAAATAAGGCACAAGAAACACAATATCAAACAAGAAAACTTCCAAAGAAAAATTGTCTTAGAACACGAGTGTCAAGCTAGACACGAGATGTACGTCACTCCAATCTTAAGACATCCAATCCTCAACTGCAAATTTTTCTGAAAGGTAATTTCATCTTAAACCTGCTTTCTTTCTGGTTTCTCTTTGATCTCTTTCCCTGTAATTGAGGAGTATTTAAAACATAAGATTGGAAATATTGGCGAAGAATCTGAAAGAGAAATTTTCATCATCATGAGTATTTAGCAGGAAGTTTTCTATTGCTACATTATTGGTTACGATCCAGGAACTGACATATGATCAGTTTCTATTAAGATGATTTTATAGCTTACTTTTTTCATCTTTATCTGATTTTGAAAATCCTAAATTGTTGATCTACTCACGCAACCATTATCTTACTTGTTTTCATTAATTTTAAAAAGTGCTTTTATCAGTTACTGGCCTTGAATACATCGACAGACTCTGCAGTAGCCAATGCAGATAGTACTGTCTGTCATTTATCTATTAAGTTTACTAGTGACTCGGTGTTTGGCCAACATCATCAAGTGACAGCTCCTGGAGTGGCGAGAGCAGGGTACCTGGTGCGCTGGTAGCCCGGAGAGGCAGAACGATATCGATCAGGTGAATGGCTGACTGGTGAACGGCTGCGCTGGTACTCCTCCCGACGCGACCCGCTGTAGTTCACATACTTGTCATACTTGTCATCTGAATAGTGGGACTTGTACTTGTCACCAGAGGGGTAGCGAGAGTAGCCGTTCTCAGCTGGCTTGTCATACGACTTTTCATACTTGTCATAACTGTAGTTGTCGTAGTTGCTGGAGCCTCCACCATAGCCTCCACGTGAGAACCCTCTGGAGTAGCTGCCACCACGTGAATAGCCACCTCCACGGTTATAGTTGCCACGTGAGAAACCTCCACCACCTCTGGAGTATCCTCCTCCACCACGTGAATAACCTCCACGACTATTGTAGCCACCACCCCTATCAGAACCCCTGTACCCTCCTCTGGAGAATCCACCCCTATATCCCCCACTTCCCCTTGGATAGTAGCCCTGGCCGCCGCTGCTGTAGCTGCTGGAGTAATAGCCCCCACCCCCTCTACCCCCTCTGTCATAGCCACCTCGACCAAAGCCACGGCCACGACCACGGGCTACCCCTCCTCTTGTAACTCGGGCTGATACCCGAGACCCCATAAAATCGGCTCCGTCCATCTGGTTAGCTGCATATTCAGCATCACGGGCATCAAAGTATTCCACAAAGCCAGAACCAGGTGGATCGTAGATAAGGTACACTTTTGCTATCTTGCCAAAACGAGAAAATGTTTTATCCACTTGGTCCTTGCGAATGTCTTTTGGAAGGCTTTCCAAAAACACTCTTGTGTTATGGCTTTTACTGAAAAAGAAAAAAAGAAACATTATTAATTCAGAGAGACAGAAAGAGGGAAGAGGAGGGGGAAGAATAAAAAAGGAGATGGAGTCAAAGGGTGAGAGAAGAAATATGGAATGGGACTGTATGTCAAGCAAAGATGAGAGAGGACGGGGGAGTATGGGGAGACGAGAAGATGAAGGGTATAGTGTGTGGGACGGGGTTGAGGGGGGGTATAGGGAGGGGTGGTGGAGGAGGATATAGGGAGGGGTGGTGGAGGATACCTGCTTGATGGGGTTCTGGGAGTTCTTCTACTTCCCAAGCCCATCCCCAGGGCCAGGCTCGAGGGAGGAAGATATAGGGAGGGGTGGAGGAGGAAGATACAGGGAGGGATGGAGAGGGAGGTATAGGGAGGGGTGGAAGGGGGTATAGGGAGAGGTATAGGGAGAGGTAGAGGGAGGTATAGGGAGGTATAGTGAGGGGTGGAGTGGGAATAGGGAGGGCCTCTGGGTACAAGGTCCCTGGGGCCCCTGGTATATGGGCCCCCAGGGATGTTGAGCCCTCAAATCATGGTAAAGGGTGGAGGGTTAATGGGGGGGGGGAGGGTCAATGATGGGGAAGGATGATAGGGTAGTGGGGAGGGAAGGGGAAAGAATATAGTGAGAGAGGAAGGTAGGGAAGAATATAGACAGAGAAAGGGAAAGGAATATAGAAAGGGAAAGGGGTATAGGGAGGGAGGAAAGGAGGTATATACGAAGGGAATGGAGGAAAAACAGAAAGGTTGGGACATAAGAAAGGGGAAGAAGAGAGAGGAAGAGAAACAAGTAGACGAGAGAAAAGAGCAACAGATCATATAAAGAAATGAAAAATACATTCATAAACATATTCCAATGCTAACTAAATGATGTACAACACAAATATTGAACAATTTGAAACAAATATAAAGACACAAAGTTAACTACAATATTGATATCTATTCTCACACTTCAGTCAACACTTCCCTTTTCTCCTGGACACACAATTGTCAACACCATGCACACATCCATCTTCCACGTGTTGCTTTACCAGCTATACGCGACAGGTGGTGGTGGCGTGTCCTGCATCAGTGTGGGAGGAAGGGGGGTGGTGGCCTGCATCAGTGTGGGAGGAAGGGGGGTGGTGTCCTGCATCAGTGTGGGAGGAAGGGGGTGGTGTCCTGCATCAGTGTGGGAGGAAGGGGGGTGGTGGCCTGCATCAGTAATTACCTAAGTGTAATTACCTAAGTGTAGTTACAGGATGAGAGCTACGCTCGTGGTGTCCCGTCTTCCCAGCACTCTTTGTCATATAACGCTTTGAAACTACTGACGGTCTTGGCCTCCACCACCTTCTCACTTAACTTGTTCCAACCGTCTACCACTCTATTTGCGAAGGTGAATTTTCTTATATTTCTTCGGCATCTGTGTTTAGCTAGTTTAAATCTATGACCTCTTGTTCTTGAAATTCCAGGTCTCAGGAAGTCTTCCCTGTCGATTTTATCAATTCCTGTAACTATTTTGTATGTAGTGATCATATCACCTCTTTTTCTTCTGTCTTCTAGTTTTGGCATATTTAATGCTTCTAACCTCTCCTCGTAGCTCTTGCCCTTCAGTTCTGGGAGCCACTTAGTAGCATGTCTTTGCACCTTTTCCAGTTTGTTGATGTGCTTCTTAAGATATGGGCACCACACAACAGCTGCATATTCTAGCTTTGGCCTAACAAAAGTCATGAACAATTTCTTTAGTATATCGCCATCCATGTATTTAAATGCAATTCTGAAGTTAGAAAGCATAGCATAGGCTCCTTGCACAATATTCTTTATGTGGTCCTCAGGTGATAGTTTTCTATCTAGAACCACTCCTAGATCTCTTTCTTTATCAGAATTCTTTAAAGATTTCTCACATAATATATAGGTTGTGTGGGGTCTATGTTCTCCTATTCCACATTCCATAACATGACATTTATTAACATTAAATTCCATTTGCCAAGTGGTGCTCCATATACTTATTTTGTCCAGGTCTTCTTGAAGGGCATGACAGTCATCTAAATTTCTTATCCTTCCTATTATCTTAGCATCATCAGCAAACATGTTCATATAATTCTGTATACCAACTGGTAGATCATTTATGTACACAATAAACATCACTGGTGCAAGAACTGAACCCTGTGGTACTCCACTTGTGACATTTCTCCATTCTGATACATTGCCTCTGATTACTGCCCTCATTTTTCTATCAGTCAGAAAATTTTTCATCCATGATAGAAGCTTACCTGTCACCCCTCCAATATTTTCCAGTTTCCAGAACAACCTCTTATGTGGAACTCTGTCGAAAGCCTTTTTTAGGTCCAGATAGATGCAGTCAACCCAACCATCTCTTTCCTGTAAGATCTCTGTGGCTCGATCATAGAAACTGAGTAAATTCGATACACAGGATCTTCCAGATCGAAAACCATACTGTCTGTCTGATATTATATCATTTCTCTCTAGGTGTTCTACCCATTTAGTTTTGATTAGTTTTTCCAATACTTTCACTATTACACTTGTCAATGATACAGGTCTATAATTGAGGGGGTCTTCCCTGCTGCCACTTTTGTAGATTGGAACTATGTTAGCCTGTGGGAGTGTGATCAGTGTGGGAGGAAGGGGGTGGTGGCCTGCATCAGTGTGGGAGGAAGGGGGTGGTGGCCTGCATCAGTGTGGGAGGAAGGGGGGTGGTGTCCTGCATCAGTGTGGGAGGAAGGGGGTGGTGTCCTGCATCAGTGTGGGAGGAAGGGGGTGGTGGCCTGCATCAGTGTGGGAGGAAGGGGGGTGGTGGCCTGCATCAGTGTGGGAGGAAGGGGGTGGTGTCCTGCATCAGTGTGGGAGGAAGGGGGGTGGTGGATTACAACTCATGTGAAACACAGCTTGGGCTATCTGCTAGGTATTGGCAAGGATAATATATTCACTACAGTATACATTAATTTTCTCTCACTTATACTGCTTGTTGGTTCGAAACGAATTTTGAAATTGTTTACCTTAAATTTGCTCCAGGAGGCCCATACTGTATTTGTGAACGAAAACCAGAAAAATTTGTCCGAAATTGTTTGGTTTGTGGTCCGAAAGACAATAAACCACAGAATTTAGTTTTAAATATGCTCAATGGCTTTTTCAAGAACCCTGATTATCTGAATCAGGGTTCCGCTGTACATTAACCTTCCATTTATCAAGGTTAAGTGGGTTATACAGTATACAGCACTTATCCTTACTGGCATTACTGTATTCTAGTTTATATCTAAATAGTTTGTGAGGCCATTTTCATTCAAATGTTTACACTACATTTTCAATTACCGATACTGCCCCCCCCCCCCCACCAATCCCAGTCTAATCTATCAGTGAAATAATTTGTATCACTATTTTGTTCTGTATTTTTTCAACTCCACACTGCATTCAGGTATTTCCCAATTTCTGGAATCGGGGACAACAATGGATAACAAGACAATGCATTCATTACAAATTTAATGTCAAAGCTCATTTTTCAGCTTAATGACATCAAAAAACAAATTGCAGTTTCTTGTATTCAATAAATCCCAGAATCATTTATCAGAGGCCACTGCATCCATTAAACCATTAGACCGCAGTTTTTGTCAATTGTTGATTCAAAGGGTAATGCAGTTATCATATGAAGATTTAACAAAATTTGACTGGGTTTTACTTGTACTGTATGCTAATATGGATAAAATAGGTGTATGTGAATGTAACACAGTTTAGCTTGACCCCAGAAAAAATTCTGCTACCATTTCATGGTACAAATGCAGTTACTGTTATGAATGTTACAAGGGGAATGTGGTTGTAATATAATAATTTAAACAATTATTGCCTGAATTTTACATGTATGATGCAAATATGGATATAAAAGCTTTCTGTGAGTGTAAATAAAAGAAAAGTAGGTGATATAACAATCAGTGAAATACTGGAGAATAAAACTAGAACCATCAGCATAGTTGAGCACCAAGTGTTGACAAGTGCCAGACGCAACCTTATAGAGCGCCTCCACCCAAAAAAATGATAAAATACAGTATTTGTAAATACAGTAAATACAATAAATTGTCTAAATGGTAATAGAAATGAATTTTGTTTTGTTTTTCTACAAAGTGATAGGGACTGGAAAGTATTATGAACCCCATGTAGCCTAGTGAGTTATTCTACACACCTGACAATGTAGGAGTCAAGGGAAGGAATTAAATTAGGCAAAACATCAGTAAATTAAGACTGAAGAGATAAAAGCAGAGGGCAAACATGTTGTGGAAATAAAGAAAGTTGTCGACATTATGGAGGTTGTAAAGAGTCACTTGAGTTGCGAAAGTAGTCTAGGATAGACGTACGTCGGTGCCTCCTGGGAAGATAATTATAGTTATCGGTTAAGAGCGAGTGAAAGCTACATGCACAACGTGTGAGGAAGCTGCCGAGAACAACGTACAATGTTTGTCAGTGATCGTGAATGATATTGGGGGGCGTCCCTACTGTGAGATATCCTTTGAGTCGATAGAATTGAGCAGGCGTGCCTATGTGGAACCTGCCAGGCGACTTCAACCACACCAAGTCGGGACTGGGAGAAGCATTTAGTGGCAGTCCAAGTGAGATAGGTGGACGACATGCAGTAACGCCATTTTGGAGCCCCAGTGGACAGGCTTCGTCGTCGTTATTGCTTGTTATTGTTTATCATTGTTTGATAACAATATCATTATTGTTTGTTATATTGTTATCATACTGCTTGTTGTTGTTTGTGTGCCCAGTGATCGTAGAGAACATTTGTGGATATAGGTTAGAGTTTATGAAAATGGTGAGAAGATATACGAGTTTGAGGTGATGGGACATTGTGTAGGCAAGATCAACATGCTAGCTTGCCGGAAGTCAATGAATGATTGATGAGGCAGAGCTTCTGGTGCCCCGTCGGAGGAAGACTTCAAGTGTGGACTTGTCCAGCATGGGGAAGTACCCACCACGGAATGACCGGCACAAGTGGGATGTCGGATGGCGAGATTTAATGTTTATATATATATTTGTTATTTATGTTTTGATAGAATATTTTATTATGGTATGGTAATGGAATTATAGGCTTGTGTTTGGGAAGTTCGTATCTGAGCTTCATGTCTGGTGAAGATTATATGGTGAAACTCCATGTGTGTAGTGGAACTTCACTGGTAGAGTGGATCTTCAGTATTACAGTGGAATTTCAAGTGTAGTAGAACTATACGTTTTTTGGTGAAGCCATGGAGAGGAACTTCACATGTACAGCGTGGGACTTCAAGTAGCAGCAAATATTGAAGGGACTGCAGGAGTACCTATCTGACTTGACACATTGACAGATGGTCTTAGTGGTAGGCCCTCAGGACATAATATAGAGAATATATGGACAACATTGTTGTTTGAGGGAGTGCATGAATTCATGTTATGAATGATGCAGTACAAGGTGAGAAAGTTTATACTTTTTTGTCTGAGATAATTTATGTGCAAGTCCAGAATGAGAGAGAGGGGCAATAGGCTGTTGACCAGGATTTGAAGCAGCATCCTCGTGTACTGTTTTGTTGGAGCACAGCTATTATATAAGAGTGGTGTCAGTTTGTAGGACCTGATGATGATATATTGTTTCTTTATTCTTAGTTTTGTTCCGTAATAAATGTTTGTACGTAGACAACTTGCCTTTGCACCTGCCCTGGTGAGGAATTCCTAGAAAGAGAGAGAGAAACGGTTGCAGTTTGATCGACAGCAAATATAATACTTATATAGGGGAATTGTAAGATCATCCCGGCTAAAGAGTGAGTGGGTAAGTATCGGTGGCTCAGTGGGGTGTGTATTTATGACAAATAGGCCAGATCTGAGCCAATTCCCCATAAAAAAGGTGACATTGAGCCCCTCCTCCATACATAAGATGTTTACAGGGTGAGCCTCCAAGGTGTACTCCCTTGTCCATTGATAGATTACAAGCAGCAGTAAGTATCAAGAGTTATTATATTATTTTATCAGGAGGAGGGGGTCCGATTGAAAGATAGAAAATCCCGACCCCGATAAAAGGTAGTGAAATGGTACATAAAAACAAAGCAACAAAATCATTAAAGAGGTAGTGTAAAGGACAAAGGGAGGGGGAAATTTTCCTGAAAATTTTATATACCAACACAATGGAGTGAAATAAAAAAAAATACTGAAGCAAAAAGATATAATTCAGCTTAAGGTCCCAGATATGGTCTCACTAACAGACAAAACGTGGAGAAAATATTTTAAACAAGGTCGTATTCCCAAGGGGCTACTCAGTTTGGAGACTTGACAGGGAAACTAGGAGGGGGAGTGGCTGTGCTGGTGAAAGAACTGAAGGCAAGTGTGTTAATAATCGAAAACTCTCGAGAAGTTGACAAGGCATTGCAGGTTTGGAATCAGAATGATAAACTAATAAAAACTGATAACTGTAAATGCCTACAGCCCACCAGCAAGCAACACATGGACAAAGGAACTAAATGATAACCGAGAGGTCCTCATAATGGTCATACGAGAGATTATAGTAAAAGCAGATAAAAGATAAATCACAATAGTGGGTTCTAGGGCACTTTAAATTGAAAGCAATAGACTAGAAGGCCTACCAAGCAAGAACAGAGGACATTTGGACAGGCAGATTTGTAAACCTCATTCTGAACACATTCATGTACAGTATCAACACATCAAGCATGCCACAACTTCAATTCTACAAAATTCTAACTTCAGAATTACTTTTAAATACATGGATGGTGAAATACCGAAGAAATTGTTCACGACTTTTGTTAAAACCAAAGCTGGAATATGCAGTGGTTGTACGGTGCTCGTATCATAAGGAGCACATCAACAAACTGGATAAGGTGCAAAGACATGCAACTAAGTGGTGCCCAGAACTGAAGAACAAGAGCTACGAGGAGAGGTTAGAGGCATTAAATATGCCAAAACTTGAAGATAAAAGAAAAAAGAGTCAATATGATCACTACGTACAAAATAGTAACGAGAATCAATAAAATTGATAGGGAAGAATTTCCGAGAACTGGAACTTCAAGAGCAAGAGGTCACAGATTTAAACTAACTAAACAAAGCTGCCATAGAACAACCCGTTCTCGCAAATTTAATAAGTCAATATTGACTTATTAGTTGCGTGCATAGGCGACATACTAAACATAATAGTTTCCCTTGAAAAGCTTCATAGAAAACACCGACCTTACCTAACCTACTTAGTATGTTAAAATAAGCATCTGATAGCTTCGTAATTACAATTGTTACTTAACCTATTATAGGTATAGGTTAGGTAATAATTGTAATTACGAAGCAATAAGATGCTTATCTTAACATACTAAGTAGGTTAGGTAAGGTCGGTGTTTTCTATGAAGTTTTTCGAGGGAAACTATTATGTTAAGTATGTCACCTATGCACATATTTAATAAGTCAATATTGACTTATTACATTTGCGAGAACGGGTTGCATAGAAATATGAGAAAATTCACTTTCGCAAAGATTGATTGACGGTTGGAACAAGTTAAGTGAGTGGAGGCCAAAACAGTCGGAAATTTCAAAGTGTTACTGTATATGACAATGCTGGGAAGATGAGACACCACAAGCATAGCTCTCATCCTGAAACTATACTTAGGTAATTACAAGAACGACGGAAGGGGATGTTCCATCAGTATTGGATTTAATATTCACCAGGAAAGAAGAGATATTTGACATCCAGTACCTTCCTTCCTTGGGAAAGAGTGATCATGTCCTGTTGGATCCTAAGTATTCTTTGTGATATAATCTAGAAGAGAATGGGGACATTACAAGTTGATAAACTCAATTGCAACAATACTATGGGGAATGAAATTTCTTTACTGAATTTAATTGGCGAGTCTTCTTGTTAGGCAAGGAAATAAATGAGATGAATGCCAAATTTTGTGAAACAGTATATGAACACACACACATACATTCATATCAAAACAGAGATGCAGAACCAAAAAACAGGATTGTTTTAACATAAATTGAGAGGGCCCGAGAGGAAAAAGACAAGAATATGGGGTCAATATAGGAAGAGGCCTAACCCTAAAATATACCAGCACCACAAGAAAGAAATATACACAGCAGTGAGGAAGAAAGGAATTTTGATAAGGAAGAAGTGAACAAATGCAAAATAGATCCAGGCCTCTTCTATAAATGATAATTGTAGCAAACATTAAAGCAAACTACATGTAAGGGATAAAATCCAAAGAACCGAGAATGCAAAAGAAATGTATGAAACGCTAAATTAACAGTTCCAAAGTGTGTTTGTACACAATGAGGATTTCAGAGAGCTGGACCCAATACCAATTCCAGAGCACACCACAGAATACTCAGAGGTATCTCAAGACAAAGTGGAAAAATTACTCAAGGGGCTAGGAAGAAATAAAGCAGTTGGACCTGATGGAGTTTCACCTTGGGTGCTGCAAAAATTTGTAACCGAGCTGAACATTTCACTCCAGTTAATATTCCAAACATCTTTGTGCATAGGAATCTTAGTAGATACTGTATATGAAAAAAGACAAACATAGTTTCAAGCTATAAAAATGGAAGCTGAGTAAAATCTATAAAATGGTAAAATATAAAATGGTATATTAAAAATATACCAATACATGTATATAAAATATAAAAAATACCAAAATATAAAATATATATAAAAATCTATAATAATGGTAGCTACCTTTAAATTACAGACCTGTACTGTATATACAGCGTGGTGGTCAAACACTAGAAAAAAATAGTTAAAACCAAATGGGTAGAACACCTGGAGAGTAAAGCCGTAAGGACCGCCAGTATGCTTTTCGTACAGTAAGATCTTATGTAACAAATCTATCTAGCTCTTATGACAGAGCCACAGAGATTCTAGAGAGATTCCATCTCTTCTACAGGAGAGATGGTTGGGTTGACTGTCTATGTGGACCTAAAAAAGGCTTTTGACAGTTCCACACATGAGGCTGGTTCTGGAAACAAGCATGCTGGAGGGGTGACTGGGAGACTTAACATAGATGAAATTTCCTAACTGACAGACAGATGAAGGCAGTAATCAGAGAGACTGTATCTGACTGGAGGAGTGTTACTAGCAAGAGCACCACAGGGTTCAGTTCTTGCACTAGTAATGTTTATTGTCTAAATAAGCAATCTACCAGAAGGAATACAGATTTATATGATCATGTTTGCGGATGATAAGATACTGGGGGAAGATAGGAGATGCAGACGATGTTAATGCCCTTCAATTTGATCTAGATAAGTGCTTGGAGTGTCAAGAGCCAAATGGAATTCAATGTGAATAAATGCCATGTTATGGAATATGCAGCAGTTGTAAGGTACTCATATCTCAAGAAGCACAAATAATCTGTTAAGGAGCAAAGGCATGCTACACAGTGGCTTCCGGAACTGAAAAACAAGAGGAGTGACTAGAGGCGTTAAACATGACAAAACTATAAAATAGAAGAAAAAGAGGTGATATGATCACCACTTACAAAATACTAACAGGAATTAACCAAACTGACAAAGATGAATTCTTGAAACCAGCAACTTCCAGAACAAGATGGCAGATTCAAGCTAAGAAAACAAAAGTGCTGAAAAAATATTAGAAAGTTTTTTTTGCAAATAGACATACAACTGGAACAAGCCAAGTGAGAAAATGAAGGAGCCCAAAACCGTCAGTAGTTTCAAAGCGTTATGTGACAGAGTACTGGGAAGATGGGACACCATGAGCATAGCTCTCATCCTTTAACTACACTTAGGTAATTACAGTACTAAGAAACTAGGTAAATTTTGTCCAAATAGCATTAGTACCAGTACTATTTCATAATCTGGTGATATAGATTTAACTCTATTTATACTAATTTTGTTTCCTTTGATATAACTTAAATCCAATTTAAGATAGCACCCTCAATACCATGAGCTATCTTTTTAATCAATCTTTCATGTGGCACTTTATCAAAAGCTTAGGTTATGTCAAAGTACACGTGATAAACTGTCCCACTATCAACTGGTTCAATTACAATGGAATAAAATGATAGCAAATTAGTCAAACACTAGTGGCTTTAAGTAAAACCATGTAAAATCATTTATTAATCAATATTTTCTCAAGGTGTAGACAAACGGCTTTGGCAAATATCGATTCAAGTCATTTTCCCACAATAGACATTAACCTAACTGGCCGATATATTACTTGTGTCAAGTATCTCTTCTTAAAAATTGGAACCACATTAACAACCCTCCACAACTCCAGCATTCTGTCTGACTAACGATTTATTACATATGCTTGGCAAGGGCTCACAAAGCTCTACTTTCCATTTTTAAGTACCCTAGCAAACACTTCGTTCAGCCCAGGGGTTATGTTTGGCTTGAATTTATCTATTTGCTTAATAATTTCCTCCCTGGTAACCACTAAACATGTTACCCTGTCCTCTTCCCCATCAATACAGACTTGTTGGGCTGAAGGCATAATGTTAAGTGCTTCTTTAGTAAATAAAACTAAATATTTATTTAAAATACTACTTATCTTTGTCATTATCAGTAATCTGGCCTGTTTTAGTTTTTAATTGCCTTGCTATACAAACTTCATAACTTCCTTTTGATTTCCTTATTTCTTTCTTAACATTTCTAACTAATTTGACAAATTCTTGTTGTAAATTGAGTTTCCCATTCTTAATCCTTCTGGACAAAGTTCCATTTTTACATATAAGGTAAGATATAAGATCTATAGTTATCCATTTGTGATCATTATTATTCAATCTTATCAATTTGTAATGTATACTAAATTCCTGGGCTTTGCCAAGAATATTTTTATGCAAGTTATATTTTTGAATCTACATTTTAATCTCTTGTTACATCACCCATTGCTTGATTTACATCTTGCTCCATGACCGGCCCACCTCCCATGTTTAAATTAAATCTGTCCAATCCATCCCTCCCAATAAAGAATCCATTAGCCCTCTGACAGTGGCTACAGTAAAATGGTCATTTCTGCCCATGCACAACAAATATAAAATTAAAAATATGAAAATTATAGAATTACTGCATTAATTTGTATGCAAAATATGATAAAAAAAAAGATAATATTTATCTTTTTACTGGGTGAAAGTGCTCTGAAAAGTTATATGCTGGTTATGTGGTCTGGCACCTGTCAACACACGGTGCTGAGTATGCTGACACTAAGGTATGCACGACAACTCCTGTTTTTTCCTTGAATGTTTCACCGATTGCTCATCACTTGTTATTCTTTATTTACAGGTGCATGTTGAATAACTTGAAAAATCACATAACACAGGATAACGTTTCGAATGATGATTGTTTACCTGGTATACTTCATTACAACAACATAATAAACTTTGTTGTTTGGCTGTGGGTGATGACATTGGTGACGAGTGCCTAAATGGCACCACATGGGCGCGAGTATGGAGTGAAACCAAGACGTAAGCTACAAATGTACCCACTCAAAGATGACGGCAGGCTTCTAGTACAGTATATATAATGCATTATAATGGTTCAGTCGATTGGTTTACCTGGTATAAAATCATTATAACCACATGGAGTTGTGAAAACTATATGAATATCATTGTATACATATGTAATTATGATGGAATTTTATACTGTATGCAGGAGTTTTTCATGGGTCAAGGTAACCGCCATAACATCCGCAGATATTACATCCTTATTTGCATCATACATGTAAAACCCAGACAATAACTTAACTTGCAGTAACAAAATTGAAAAGAGTATACACTTCAGAATTACCGCACGCTCCCGTGAAATGCCCACAGCCACCTGGGGTAGTGTGGCGCTCGCGCGCCCAGAGCGCAAGTGTTAAGGGCATTGCTATTTTGAGGACATTCTCCATCCCTGTTTCTTTTACCTGTACTTTTTCCCTGCCAACACTTATTTTTATTGCGTTTTTTCTCAAAATCCATTCCCATACCACTATTTACTAAAATTTTAAATACAAACTCTTCCCACCATAGATTCCAACAAAATGACAAAAGCAATTCCCAGCCCTAGATAAATCAAGTCTAACCCAAGCATACATATTCCTTCCATAGAAGTGTCCCCAGAGTCATTCCATCTCAAATCACTAAAAAGTCACCTATGGCTCCCACTCGACCCTCTCCAAATGCCATGAAATTTTGTAGCAAGATAGCCCTAGACCCCAAATGACACTGCAAAATATTAGAGGTCAATCTGCTTTGGTTCTTAAATAACGGGTCCATATTGAATGGGTTCTCTTCCCGTTAATGTATAATTACCACAAAAAATACCAACTTTGACCCTTTGTTAAATCACGATTAGTGCCCAGAGGTGTGAAATTTGGCTTACCAGGGCAACTTTTGGTGCAGAATACAGCACCATGGTTTGAATGGTGTCATTCAAAACCAAATTGGGAATGACGCATATTGAGATATTTTGAGATATATTGGCAGTGATATGACATGGATTGGTAGCTGAATGGTTACCCAAACTATATTTTTTATTACACTGCTGTATTCTGCACCAAAAATTGCCCTGGTATGCCACATTTCACACCTCTCTGGGCACTAGTCATGTTTTAACAAAGGGTAAAAAGTTGGTAATTTTTGTGGTATTTACGCATTAATGGGAAGAGCGCATTCAATATGGACCTGTTATTCAAAAACCAAAGCAGAGCTCTAATATTTTGCACATTTTCATTTGGGGTCTAGGGCTACTTTATTACAAAATTTCATTAGATTTAGAAAGGATCAAGTGGGGAGGCCTTTGGTGAATTCACATGGAATGATCTCCCCCCCCCCCCAAGTTATCAATGAATGATATTGCATTTCAGTTGCAATATTTGTTAAATTCAATCTTTTTCTTATATTGTGCTCTGTAAATATAGTAGGCTGCATAAAACAAATATGATTGTTATAACTCATGCAGCCCTCTGTAAAGTCAAGGTGCGAGTCCTCTATTCTTTCAAGATGTGCACAAATAGCATCTGAAATTATAGTCATGCAATTTTCCCATGACAGATGTCAAGCTATAGCAATTCCAATAATTCACGGGGCTATTCATTTGTTTTTAAACCGGCATCAAACTCACAACTTCTACAATTCCAGTGCTGTTCAACTTATTACATTCTGTGAAGCCCCTGACAAATACTTTCTCTGGTCCTGGGGACTTATTAGCCTTTTATATTTATTTACTTAATAAATTGGTAATCCCTTTACAAATCATGTGTTCTTCCCCTACACAGACTTTTTCAACAAAAAGTTTAACGTATCGTTTCCTCTAGGGAAAAAAAAAAAGACATTACTAATTAGAACACTTCTCATTTATGCCATTATCAGACACATGACCACCATTGGCTCATTCTCATCCCTAATGTTTAATAAATCTCAAAGAATGCGCATTAGTCTTTGCCCTACTATAAATATTTCATAATGGGTTATGATCAAACACAGGCATTTTTTACAATTGCTTTTTAATTTTTAAAATACTGTACAACTATATTAGATTAAGCTGGGATAAGTAGGGTGAGTGATATTTAACATTTATAAACATTGAACTTAGGTTAGGTTAGTTGTGATACAACACACAACTTCATTGACAAATTGTGTTGATTACTAAATGCCCAATGTCTACAGCGAGGTGTGGGGGCAGCGCACCAGCCCACACGGGCGACCCTACGATGCTTTACCCTCAGCTTAACTGTCATGGGTCGATCCTCCACTTCAATGACAATTAACTACCCCATGTTATGAATATTGGACCGAGGTCAGCCAGGATTGGACAGTGCATAGTCCTAACATACACAGCCATCTTGCAGAGAGAGTTTTCTCATTGTTAGAACTGTACATACAGATTAGGTTACGCCAGATAAGGATAGATAAGGCAAGCTCAATACAAAAATATTCACTGTTAAAGCTTTATGTGTGAAATGGAGTGTAGGAGTGTATGGGAGGCGCCGACACCAGCGTCCTGCTCACCACCAGTGACCACCAGCAGGGCCTCCTGCACCTCCTGTACCCTCAGGTACACACACGTGGTGACGCCCTCGCCTGCAGGTACACCAAGGGTACCATAGGCATGTGTAGTACACCTGTAAACCAGGCTCAGTTTACCCCTCGTGTAGTAGTGTGGGTAGGGGGAGGACCACGCCCCTACACCCATAACGGTATTACACCCTGTGTGTGAGTGAGGGTAGAGAGGAGTGTGAGTGTGTGAGGGAGACATGGCGGGTGTTGCGTGTGGGTGTCCCGGCGGCCCCAGCCTCCACCGCCTCCCTGCACCTCTCACTCCATTTCACACTACACCTCTACCCTCTCACATGCCTACACTCACTACTACACTTCTACACACATTACTAGGCCCTACAAAAACAAAAGAATGCGTAAATATTATCCTTACTCGTCACTGGTATTACTCTCCATGTTGAACGGTGCAAATGGCGTCCCTTTCCGCCCGCTCGATGAAAACAGACAAAGAAAAATTTTATGTCTCCTATATAAAACTCATAAAAACACAAAGTCAGAAGCACATTAAAATTAATATCTGAATAGTTTTATATATAAACTTTAGTCATATTGATAATAAATGGAAGCGATGCATTTTATAGAGCTAGGCAATGCATATTATAGACGTTATTTGACCAGAGAGACAGCGCGCCAAGTTCAAAAGTCGCGTCGCCCTCCTAATTGAGGCTATTATCATCATTAATTTCTTCTATAGCATTCTATGGGTTTATTTACGACTATTTGGTTTAAATCCTGGGCCCTAAGAATAAATTTCATCACGTCTATCTATTTATCTACATCATTCAAATAGTGTGCCGAAAGCTGACCTTTGTTATTTAAATACAAAAAATATATGGTTTACAAGACGAATAGATTTAAGAATTAACAAAACCCCAAAACCGATGGGGCTTCCTGTCCTCGTTGAGACCACTAGAATTGGTGACCCTCAAGTAAATATGAAATAATATTATAGCTATATTACAATTATTAATAGAGAGATAATACTCATCCCTATTCAGCCAGCATTAACTGGAGCGATAGACAGATCGTGTTCCAGGGAAAGCTAGCATATATGGCTTTGTGATGAACTGAGGGAAGACGAGCTCTAAACCTGACACCAAGAGTCAGACTTTATTTATTATTAGAACTATTACTAAGAGGAGGAATTACCTTGTGGGAAAGATGACAGAGAAGTACTGAGAAACATCGTGGGGAAGCTTCACAAAGACCCACGTCAATTGATTTATTGAGATGATTTGTTTAAATATTTACAAGAAAGTGCAAAGGACTATAATAATTAGGGAGGGCCACACGAGGCCTCTTGACCAATACTAGGCAGACCCTGTTTAATCCGCCCCTCTCACCCATACAGTCTATTCTTGAAACCCGTTAAACTGTATTAATGCTGTCTGGCTCACTCATTCCACTCATCCACAACACTTTTCCAGTCGAAATTTTATATCGTTGATTGTTGCCGCCGGAGGCGGGTAGGCAAGTGTGCACCCCATACTCATCCTGTGAGTGGTATTTTACTTTGCACCCCATACTCATCCTGAGTGGTAGTTTATTTTGCACCCCATACTCATCCTGTGAGTGGTAGTTTATTGTGCATCCCATGAGTGGTAGTTCATTGTGCATCCCATACTCATCCTGTGAGTGGTAGTTTATTGTGCATCCCATACTCATCCTGTGAGTGGTAGTTTATTGTGCATCCTATACTCACCTTGTAATTGGTAGTTTATTGTGCACCCCATACTCATCCTATGAGCAGTAGTTATTGTGCACACCATGTAAGCGTACTCATCATGTAAGCGAACTTATCCAGTGAGCGGTAGCGCAAAAAAATGATTACCGAGGGGACAAAATGTCTCAATTGGATCTCAACGGAGATTTTAACTTTAACAGTTACATGTAACCTGCCATTTGTGGGGACGAACGAAATTTTAGATTTATTTATATATATAAAAGAAGGTACATTGAGTTTATGAGAGTACGTAGCACTTTTGCAGTCACTGGGAGTAGAAACCCTTCAGGCAAACTGCACGTACAGTACCATAAAGAAGGGCTTAGATTAAGAGGACTCGGTTACAAGTAAACTACTGGCTCAGTAAGTGTAATTTACTAGTTAACCAGTTGGGGCGATGATGCCCGAGGAAGCAGTATGGTTAGCATGTGGGGAATTTCAAGTAAATGGGGTTAGGTGAAGATTACAGTGGATGTAGGAAGTAAGAATAAAAGGGGGTCGGGCGGGAACCTCTCCTGCGTGCAAACGTGTCTCCTTTGCCAAACCATTTATACCAACAACGTATTTTGTGCATACAAGGTAGCTGCAGCATTCATTAATATTATTGCTGAATTTTTAGCAATGTGATAACCAAAGACTAGTGCTCTAGGGAATAAAAATACTGTACATCATATTAGGAACTCAAAATCTTAAATACTGTCAATACTACACAACTTTTACACATTTTACACTGTACATACAACGATACTGAAATTTTTGCAATTTTAAATTTATCTGGCATATATGTTATGAAATCCTATTAAATCCAGTGTATTAATAGATTATTTATGTCAATTGAATTAAAGAAAATATGGTATTTGGTTGTGTTGGGACATGCAGAGGTGTGATGAAATTCCATCTTGCATAGTGTCCCTTCCTTTGGTATCAGTTGATCGTATACCAACTCGATGATATTGATCATGACTTTTTAAACAGCATAAGTTAAACATTTTGATTTGGTGACTTATGTAATACTGTAGCTGTACATTTACATAGATATAATTTATGTACATATACTGTACATTTATGTAATAGTATATCAGCAGTTACAAACTATTATACCTGAGAAATATTTTATGCCTCAAGTGTGGGGTGTGAATATGAGTGCCATCATTTAAGCAACAGCTCTCTCGATATAATTTCAAGTCTGTAGCCAGCCCATCCTCCTGTTTTGGCAGTACTGTACTCATAGTAATGATGAAGACCATAGTACATCTACTGTACCAACAAACTACAATAAGGTAGAAATTTGTACTATTGAATTTGGACATCCATGAAAGGCTTTGTATTTAAGTTGCAAAGATCACCTAAACCTAACCACCTTAGGCCTAATACACTAAAATCTAATATAGGCCTATATCTAATATTAAATCTAATATAGGCCTATATCTAATATTAAATCTAATATAGGCCTATATCTAATAGCAAAATCTAATATAGGCCTAGTGTGCTATACTAGGCCTAAGACTTTTTTAACTATGTATAGCACAAGATTTTACTTCCAGCACTAAAATACTTTGAAGATCACTTACAACAAAGGTGTCATCTTGTTGCATATTGTCGTGGTAAATAGTGCCCCAGATAATACTTAACTAATCATATTATATTAAACACAAATTGATTATTCCATTTATTACTCAAATTACATTTCTTAAGTACCAATAACTTGTTGATAATCACACTTCAATTTTGTTTTTTGTAAAAATGTACTAGGAGTTAAATGAAATTGGGAGAAAAACTGTAGAATGGAAGTTTATTAATTTCAAGCATAACAAAGGGAGATCTATGTAAGTGTGCATTATTATACCGAAGCCTGGCTGGCTGGCTGGACATATTCCAGCTGTCCCGGAAACACTGAGTAGGATCTGTAAATTCAAGAAAAAACCATTTTAGTGTACTACTATGTAACAGGTGTTTAACTTAAAAAAAAATAGGAGAAAAACAATTAGCAATAATGGAATTAACATAAGGTTCTAGAATGAAATGTTACCACAGTAATAGATAAAATGTTACAGCATGAAATGTAAAGGCATACATTCACATCTGTTTTTAAATAAACAAGGTTCAGTAAAAAACTAAACTAGTCCTTATGTGCTTTCCTAATTAAATATGCTCAAAGCAAATGAGAAAAGTGAAGATAATCTTCCTACAGGAATTATCTAGTTACTTAGGCATCCCACTAATTCTGTTCTCTTACCCGTGATGAGTATCTCTAGAAGCTCCTCCTTATTTCAGCTGTGACAGTCCAGCTCTCATAATTTCATCGACAATGAGAAGATTACGTGCAATAACCGAACTGAAAAGAAACGATTCCATTAAAAAACAGGTACATTATCTTAGTGATCATGCCTCTTCACCAAACGGTAATTGGGAACCTGGTTGTAAACCAATTGGCAGGTTATGTTCCAGGGAAACTAGTAAGTTCAAGGTGTAAGATGATCAGCAGGGATCAATGTAAGGAAGGACTGAGCAGCAGTGATCAATATAAAGAAGGACTGGTCAGCAGGGATTAATATAAGACTGGACAGCAGGGATTAATCTAAGGAAAGACAGTAGCAGGGATTAATACAAGGAAAGACTGGGTAGCAGGGATTAATACAAGGAAAGACTGGGTAGCAGGGATTAATACAAGGGAAGACTGGGTAGCAGGCATCAATATATATTTATATTGCAAAAACCAGAACATTTCTATATATATATATTTGACATAAGTTTAACTTTCTAAACTTCGTTCTTAAGTGATCATATTAATTTATAAAGATCAATTAAATTTAAGTGCCTGAGATGTGTTACAGCTATTGTGTATAGCATAATAAACAATTATAATAATAATAATGAAAAAGAAGCTTTTAACTAAACATTTAATTCCTATTTATTTTAATGTTTAATATTGTATCTAAAGTTGTACACAGTGGTGGCAAGACAATTTACTAGCATAGAATGAATATACCGCTGCTTTATTAGCATCTTTCAGGCATAAAATCACAAGGGCATTAAGAAATCATTGCCAATCTGCTATAAAATTTGTATAAGTGCGATCACTACTCTTTCTACTTACCATGCATCTAGCATGTGCCTTTTAACGCAATAATTATCAAATATGCCGGCATCACATGGGTTGAGTGTCTCGCCTGTAGTAATGTCCAAGCCCACTGGCCCTCCTGCACTGTTCTTGTACTCTTCTCGCAGCTTTACCAGACTGTCCATCTGATCATATCCACAATTACTAGCTAAAAGAATAGATTAATTTAAATTAGATTTTCCTGTATGTTACTCGTAATGATAACATGGAGGCACCTGAAAGAAATACTGTATAAATTAACACCCAAAAATAAAACGCTGGAGAAGACCGAGATGCCAACTTTGCCAGACCATCTGGGAAGACCCAGACCCCACACTGATTCCAACTGGAGAAGAAATGGATGAAAGGAAAGCATCAAGATAATCAGTAAAAGTATCCCAGAACTGCCCCCCCCCCAAGGTGACAAGCAAAAAACATTACACGTGATCCAAATGCTCCAGAAAAATACTTTCTGATGACTTGTATTTAGTTTATCTGATTATGTTTTATGGTTTCATACAAAATATATATACACAGTATACTTTTTGGCAGCTCACCATTATTGTAAGATTTGCCTGCAACTAATAATAAAATACTTGAAACAAGTTGATTGATTTAGTTAAAATAAAGCTCATAATGTAGCTAGAACCTAGGCTTTTAAATAGCATTTTTTTACAATAGACAAAATTACTAAATGAGAAGACTGGCTTGCAGGGGGCTATAAAGATTAAAATGTCTAAAAATTTCTAAATACAAAAAATATATATATATTTGTTATAAAACTTAACTACCTAGATTGGATTTTTTGGGGAAATATAGAACTTGTACCCAAAGTATTGCACTGTACTCTTAAATCAGCATTTTACAAATATTGGAATACCAGTACAATATTTATCAATCAAAACTGTCATAACATTTAACTGTTAAAATTTCTTAGAGCCAGTGTGATGTAACCAGCATATAATAATCTTTACAAGCAAAACAATTCCTATTTATATGGACCCACTTGAATCAATATTACAGTACAAATAATACTTACCAAGCGTTTTAGGAATAACTAGAAGAGCATCGGCAAATGCCCGTACGCCATAGCGAGCACGTCCTTTGACTTCACTCTCATACTTCATTAATGCATCATATGCAGCAATCTGTAATGAACACACAAGCATGAAAAAAAAGACCCCTATCTTTTTTTTTTTTGTGCTTAATTTATGCCAAACTGCCAGCTCTTGGTTCCTGCCTTTTAAGACTACTGGTTGTCGTTTTGATGCACTGACTCCTGGCTTGTGTATTTTACCTACATTAGAAACTGCTTTAATGCTGTATGAAAATCAAAACAATAAGACTGATCAATTTTAAAGATTTAGTATCTGGTAGCAAATCAACAGCAAAAATCTTTAGTTTTCACCGTAATGTACATTAAATCGAGATTAACCATTTAACCATGTTTGAATATTGTGTCCTCTGTAGCTCTACTTGACCTTAATTTTTCAAACATTTACATACTCTGAAAATAAATTTTCAAATATTTAAATAAATATAGAGGAAGGATCTACCCAAGTTTCTAAAAGCCTTATTAGAATTAAAAGCTTGTAATTTGTTATATAAATTTCAGTAACATGTAAAAAGATACATATGCAGACACCTCAAATACAGTACTGGCTTACCTCAAAGGCACCTGCACCGGGAACTAACGAGCCATCGTCAAGGGCGTTCTTGATTGCCCTCAGCCCATCCCTGACAGCATCCTTGGTCTGCTGCAGGGTGTGTTTATAGGGTCCCTTAATGAGTATTGTTACACTATGGGGATTTTTCAGCTCCTCTACAAATGTATATTTATTTTCTCCCTAAAATAAAAAAAAATTACTATTAAAAGTAAGTAAAACAAGGTGATAAGAATATGCAAACTAGATGACTAATATAATGGGAGGTTAGAGAAGGCTGCCTTCTGCCTTAGTGTGTGTCCCTGTGTAACTACCACCCATACGTAAATCTGTGTATCTATGTATTTACGCATGTAGGTTAGCTTAGCATTTTAAAAGCACCGAATCACCTGGGGTTGATTGTTCAATAAACCCCTGAACTATATGTTTAACATCTCTAACCCTGTCCATGGAGGACAGAAGAAAATGTATATATGCTGGTTAGCATTGTAAATGTGTGGCCACATCTGTGGTAGAAAATAATAAAAAAAAAATCTCCAGTCTCTCAATGACTGGGTGCCTTTTGTTAAGTACTTACTTACCACATTATTAAGGCCTGTCCCCCATGCTAGAGCACTTAACATGTAATATACAAAAATTGATGGAATAAGATAATATGAACACTTAAATTGTACATGGTATTTGTTCAGAGGCTTACCAAAGCAAATTGTTTAGGTTCATGTACACAATATTAATATAGTATTGTACATTCAATATGCATGTCCTAGTAGGTTAAAAGAGGCTAAACCAACACATTTACCATTACTTTCGTATAAAGTAGTTACTGTAATTTAATAGACTTAAATGTGGTCCGAGTCCATGAACTAGAAAATGGTGAAAATAATATATAACAATTATTTATTACAAATTTACTGTTCATAATAATCACATTACCAGTATATGAAGTCCAAAGCTTGACCTAAAACATTGTAAATTAAACTTCATGCACTGTATGACTATTGTAATCAAATGCAATATTTGTGAGTTACTCAACAATACAAAGATACTCATTGCAAACTCAGTTAAAATGCATATATCACTGGTATTAGAGTACATTGTTAATAACTGCAATATTTAATAAATCTTTTGAAAAATAAAAGTTCCTGACACCCGACTTGTGTTTAATGAACCATTTAAATCCACATAGAAATGCCTTAGCAAGACATCAATTCATATAATTAGCCTTGCAGTTTCAACGTTAAAATAGTTTCAGACTAAGAAGTCAACAAGTTTGTAACTTTGTACATCAACAAAAAACTTCAATTGCATACAACTGAAAAACTATGCACAAACAAGAAAAATTATCTAACTAAAAAATATTTCAAATTTGCTTTTACTTACCAAAACATGCTCATAAACACTGCCAGCATACCCTAAACAATCTTCTGTCATGTCATCGAAGCTGTTCATTGCCATTCCTCCGCAAGCCAGTGCAAGTCTCTCCATGTTACGACGCTTAGCCCGCCTCAGACCCATGATGCCTTCTTTTGCCAGCATGTCAAGGGACATGGGATCAATTCCTTTTTGATTGATTACAACAAACATTTTGTTATTACCAGCACAAACTTTCTTCTTTAACTCTATTACCTTCTTGACCCTGAAAAAGAAATTGGTATGATTTTCTTCCAAGATGGCTTTAACAATTATCATACAGCAAGATAAAGCAGGTGGCTCTGAGCGGTCTATTGTTGACTGATGCACCAAGTCTGCTAAATAAAGTGTGGAAGCAAGAATTTTAAGCAAAGCCAAATTTAGTACTGTATATTGTAACTAGAATTAATTTATGAAAGGTAATCCCACAAAGGTGTATATAAAGATATATCTATATATTGTATACATTATATATTAATCAGATATTAGTACCGGCAATAAAGTACCTATTTTTCAGCTTGGTCGATTACCATGAACTATTATTTTTTCAAACGAGTCAAAGTGCACAAGATATTCATGAAACTAGTGGTTGTCCCTCAAGTTAATCAATCTCCTATGTACTTATATGAACCAAATGACTGCCAATGGTTGAAATAGAACATGCATCTAATTGACAACATTTGCACAAGAACTTATCCTCAAGTACTGTGCAAACTTGCCAAAAGCAAGGATGAGAAATATGAGCAAAGACTACCTTATTATGTCCAAAACAACCTAGGATGTGAATGTAAAATGGGTATATATATATTAGCGATGAGATGGCAAAAGCTATGGATGTATGGTTATAAGATGGTTGTACACATCCAAGAAGTATTGCAGTAATCAGTGAAAAATATTGAAAAATTTTCAAAAGAAAAGGATCAATGGAAAATTTACCTGGAGAATTTTGTCATATGATGGAAGACAAGCCAGATCAAAAATAATAAGTTAAAAAGAGTAACAAAATTGGTAAAGAATATATTTGTTAAATTCATGAAGAATTTAGAAGAATATTGTATGAGTACAGCACAAAAAACGAAATGTCTAAGTGCGTATTTTTGTGATTAAAAAAACCTGTGATGGGCCCATGACCCAATCACTGAGCAAAATATGCACAAAATTATATACAATACAGTACCTGTTTTCAATGAATTCTCTCTCTGCAGCTACAAGTTTTTCTCTTTCCTCTGCAGACTTGTAGAAGAAACCAGAGTTGACCTCCGTCTTCTCATATTCCATGGAAACATTGCAGGTGAGAATGTAAGCATTTGTTGCTCGCTTAGGCATATCTGGATGACGCCCACCGTGGTCCAACACCAGACCTTTGACTAACTGGGTGTCTAACTCAGTCTTGTGCTGAAAGATATTAAGAAGACATACTAATTTAGACAAACTCAAACTGCTAGTATAATTTTATCTATATTATTACTGGTGACAAACTAAATGCCCTTGACTTGTACTGGTTAGTTGAGTGACAGCTTTGCATTAAGCAGGGTGGGTATTTTATACCCTATGGTTCAAGTGGTTGGAAGTAGTTCCTCCACTGTCCTCGTCTCACAGTTCTTAGTTTGTTCTCATATCCCTTTGAAGTGCTAGTCATAATTATTTTACCTTAAAGGCAGAGAAGATAACAGAACTCCATCTAACACTATAATATGGCAGGACCATAGGAGATATGACTGCATAGTACAAGATATAAAAATAAGTGGAGGTGCCCAGGAGTTATGTATGTGTCGAGGAAACTTTATTTTGTTTATCATCATTGTTCATCCTCTTTAGCTGAGCCCACCTCCCCAAGATATATAGAGTGGAGCAAATAACTTGTGATCAACTTTAAATCCTAAATTAAAACATTTGGAAATTAGGCAAGAGGAGTGCCATCAGATTTGCTGTCAATTACAGTTTAAAAGTAATTTCAAATACTGTGGTGTTGGCAATTATATTTTTAGCCCCAATTATGAGAGGAAAAGTATGTATATGGCTTAAATTTGGTAGCTAAAGGATTACAAGATGCACTTTAGAATATAGTGAAAATAGTCAAGAACTTTTGTTTGCCAAATGCTAACAGGCATTAGGATAATAGCAGTCTTTTACCAGTACTATTTAACTTACAAAACTAATCCTTCCCTCCCCCTGGAAAAAACTAAGACATTAAGCTACTAAATCTAACAAGGAGGGAGGGTATTATCAGGGGAAAGCGCCAAGCCATTATAACTATATAGCATTTGGAAGGCGGCCAGGATAAGGATTTGGGATGGGACGGGGTAAAAGACTGGTGCCCATCACTTGGACACGCAGGGAGTGAATGCCGACCTGCATGAAGCAAGACCATCGCTCTCCCGTACAGCCCAAGTGATTGGGCATGCAACTTTCTTGTTGTAAGATAATCTTTAATATGAAACAATTGTAATTAATTCTCTAAGGCACCTCACCTCAAGCACTACTAACCTGCATGTCAATGACCTCCACCATGTGCAAGTCCAGTGGTTTGTTGTCCTCCTTGATGGCTAACACTGCATCCACACAATCTTCTGTCAGCTTATCTGCCAAGGCTGAGTGAACTTTTGTTCGCAGAGCTGTGCGTGCAACCTGACACAAGCGCTCCCGTTTCATCTCCTCGGTGATTTTCACTTTATCAAGGACTTCTTGAGCCTTTACCTACAGAAAATATTCTAGTGAGGTAATTTGTAATGCTACAAAGATAGGAATGTATATGAGGTATAGAATATTGCATTTCTCATTCAGTTTGATAAATGTAAATACTTTTATTATATAATGGACAGATTTGCTTCAAAACTAATTAAAATACAAACCTTAGCTAAATCAAAGCCCTCAGCAATAATTCTTGGATGTAAACCATCTTGAATTTGAATGTCTGCCTGCTTGAGCATCTCACCAATAAGAAGAACTGTTGAAGTTGTGCCATCACCAATTATGTCATCTTGAGCTGTGCAAGCCTTGGCAATCATGCTGGCAGTAGGGTGCTGGATTTGCTGCAAGATATAAATTGTTATATATTCATGAAATATATAATACTACTGTTAAAACCAAAAATTTTAACTTGTACTAGCTGGCAATACAAATAAAATTACTACCATTCACCATGAGAAGCACTAATATCTAATGACACACTACTGTAATAAGTTTATTCAATAGCCGACAGTACTGTATATACTTTTTTTTATTAGCAGATACAGTATCAAAACACTAACAAGATTGGTATGGATTTCAATGTAAGAAAAATGAAAGGAAATATTCCTGACCCTTATTCCAACCATATATCAAGTTTAAAAAATACTTCCACTGTAAAAATCAAGTTTGTTCATTTATTATGCACCCCATACCCATTCTATGGGGAAGCTTTGAGGGAGGCATCTTGGCAATTTTAGCACCTTTGCATGGGGTTGATATTGGCTTCTGTTGCTGATAAATGGGTGCATGTGCCAGGTCCAAAGTTTAACCCTTACACTGCTCACCTATTTTCGGCAAAAATGTCTTGGTGCAATTGACAAGGACATATTTTTGTTATTTTTACAAATGTTCAGGTAAATTTAATGTCAAAATGTTTCCAAAGTCAAATATTTCCATTTCAAAACACAAATAGTAATGAAAACATTAAAAAACATTAAAATATAGCCAAATTAAAAAACAAAAAGCACAACTCTCTGAGCGCCTAAAGGCGCTTTGCGCAGTGCAGTGGTTAAAGCCAATACTATACAGAGTATATTTGATAAAATATTGCAGGATATCAACATTTTTGTGAGACACCTAGACACAGGTTGATAATTGCCCTTATGTGGAAAAAAAAAGGGGAAGGGGTATATACCAGTGGAATGGTATATAATCTACCTTTAATCTGTTCCATTAAAGGTACAATATATATTAAATATGGTATACAAGACATCACAAATAAGAAAGCTATTAAGTGTAAAATAGTAACTAGTACTAGCAGTATATTTGGGAAGAACACAAATACGGGGATGAAAACTGACATTCTGGAGGAGGTAGAGTACTGTACCATATAGTCGTAAAAATCCTGCCCCAGCGCCACACTTACCATTTCGTGGAGCAAAATATTGCCATCTTTGGTGATTTTGATATCTCCAGCACCAGACACCAGCCTGCAATAATGTCACATAAGTATAGATGAAACTGCAGGTGGTCATGTGCGGAAGCTCCTATTTATACCAAACCAAACACTCGTATACATGTTTAACCTTCACTTGAAACACTTCATCAATCTAATTCATTTTGTCTGGGAAAGAAAGCCTGTGCACACACACACAATTCCTGAAACCAGTAACATCACAAACAAGAGGACACAGATTTAAGCTAAGGAAACACAGGTGCCAAAAAAAAGTTTTCTTTTGCAAACAGAGTGGAAGACGGTTAGAACAAGCTAAGTGAGGTGGTGGTGGAGGCCAAAACCGTCAGTATTTTCAAAGTGTTAAACGACAAAGAGTACTGGGAAGATGGGACACCAAGAGTGTAGCTCTCATCCTGTAACTACACTTATGTAATTACACTTACACACACCAAACCAAAGTTTGTTTTCTACAACAAACTATCGGCAATAACAAAGATGGCCGCCACCACAGGGAATGTACAAACATCAACAGATTGTTTTTCAAAGGATTCTCACCACAAAATATAATGAAAGGTTTTCTTTGCAGGTTAGAGATAATTGAGGATATGCTAAAGTAATATGAAGAAGTCATCCCAATCAATTTTCTAGACATCTTTGTGAACAGGAATCTTTGCAGATATATGGAAAAAAGCAAACATACTAGTAGTACCACTCTATAACAATGGTAGACAAGAGGAACCTCTAAATTATAGACCCAGTATCATTCATAAGCATCAGTCAAAACACTAGAAACAATAGTTAAAAGCCAAATGGATCGAACACCTAGAGTAATGACAACGGATAGATTATGGTTTTCGAACAGGAAGATCCTGTGTAACAGATCTATATAGTTTTTACGATAGTCACACAGATAATACAGGAAAGAGATAGTTGTGTTGACTGTATCTGGACAAAAAAAAAAAGGCTTTGACATAGTCCTCACACAAGAGGCTGTTCTGAAAACGAACATGCTGGAGTGACAGATTTCTGAAATAGATGAAAAACCTTCTGACAGGCAGATGAGAGCAGTAATCAGAGACAATGTATCTGATTGGAGGAGTGTTACTAGCAGAGTACTAGCAGGGTTCATGCACCTGCATGAACTCTTATGTTCATCTACATAAATGTAGTTTTTTTACTTAAATATTCATAAAAATATTTAGGAATAAAATCACTGCTTGAATTCTATGCATAGAAAATTAATGTATTATAACCTAACCCCACCTCTGGAGTGTGTGTGGTCAAAGAGTCAGGCTGGGTGGATATAAGTCACTTTATAACTAAAATGATTAGCCAACAAATTTTAAAACCCAAGTGCCCAACATAATCAAAAATGTGTGGGCAAATGGTTTTAGCAATTGGAAATGAGATGGGTTTGAAACCCTTGTGTGATATTTGACCATACTCCAGCCGGGTTGGTTAGGCTATTGTAGGACTGGTTACATAGGTTAGAAAATCTATAGATTTTGATCTGCTGTTGCCCGAAACGCTATGCGTACTAATGGCTTTAGGTATTGTATGTACTACCTCTATCTTTAAATCTAACAATGTTTGTACTGTAACTCTGCAACTATGTATGTACTGTTCCTAAATAAATTAATTATTATTATTACTGCTAAATGTATCACACAAAGTGATTTGTATTGAACCCTTTTAGAGTAAACTGAAAAAAAGTTTGCATACATTTTAAAACCAACTATATTGTATATGAAGCCTGGTATACAGTACGAGTGTAGTAAACAATTACAACTTGTGCAGATATTACAATTAATAGGCGTAATGCCTGTGAAATACTGTATACGAAGTGACCGCACCTGAGGCAGAGACCAAACACGTGTCCACACAACTTACATTTTCATGGTGCCTTTTGGCCCAAGGTTGGTCCTGAGGACATCCTGTATTCCCCTGGCGCCGGAAATATTGATAGCAAGGGCCTGGGCGGCCCTGGCGACCTCAGCCTTGGGGTTTAAGGTCTTGATAGCAGCCATGGTAAAGCGATGACTAGTGCACTGGTGTGTCAGTCGGGCCGGTCCTGTTCCAACACTTCCTCATGGCTCACCCACTCTTACTTACACTACCTAAAATTACTTTATATTAACTCAATTTCCCTGTGATATATTAACATTTACTTTAAGAAAAAACACAAAATTTAAAATTTAGCAAATGTTTCAGTTTATAAGGTAGAATATAGTTTTGTGTAGTGTAGAGTGTTGGTGCAGGAGTTGTGGTGACAACAAACATGCCGCTCTTGGCGCCTCCAGAACCTTCTCCTATAACCCAAACAATTATAATAATAATAAAATAATAAATGTTTATTCAGGTACAAGTACATGTATATATACAAGATGAGCTACAAACAGAATGTTGGATTTCTAGATAGAGCTAGTACATACTAAGCCTAAAGCCACTAATACAGTAGTTAGTGCAGTTCATTTATTATGCACCCCATACCCATCTTGTGGACGGTAGTGGAAAGGGTTACAGAGGCACATAATGGGCTCAGGGTCTGAACCCCACAATTCATTTAGCTAAGCAAGTTACAGTCTTGATGAGCTAGTTACAAAATTCATACGCACAACGTTTTGGGCAAGATGTGGGAAAAACACTTAGACTAAAACTTAAAGCTAATTGAGATCAAAAGCATAAATTGAATTGAAAATGGGGAGGGAAAAAAAAAGATAAAAAATGATAATAATTACATGATGGATGGAACAGCAGAAATTGAAACAGAACAGCAGAAGTAATCTTAACTAAATAAACAAGATTACAATTTTCTTAAAGTTTATACATGGCAGGTATCAGCAGTTATACAAGTTTGTCAATAATCAATATTGTTTGAAAATAGCAAGACATAGGTTGACATTTAGGGGGTAAGGTAGGTTACATGCAGTTTATTAGGTAGTACTTAGTTTTTGTTTTAAACTGGACAGTCTTTAATATGATTGGGAAGGCCATTCCAAGTTCTGGGTCCATTGATTTGTAGAGCATTTCTAATTTGGTTAAGTCGCATTCTTAGAATATCAAATAGGTATTTATTTCTGGTATGGTGCCCATGGGTTCTGTTACAACCTTCTAGGAAGTGTTGAAGGTCAGGATTGGCAGTGCAGTTCAGATTTTTAAATCTGTTTGTCCAAGGTTGAAGGCCAGAGGCTTGAGGCTTGAGGCTTCGCCTAACTTTGCGGGGTGAATGATTTTGGGGCACATGACGGATATAGGCTGGTCGGGATCGGCCTTATTGGTCCTACTAAGAAGGGGGGTGGGAGTAAAGTCCAATACAGGTAGTGACACTCCAACACAAATTAACGAAAGGTGGCTGGTCGAGTCCCTAGAATTCGTCACCCGAACGTGATGAACGTGAAAAAGTTGGTATGTCTCGTCGACATACCAACTCACTCCTTTTATGATAATTGGCTGAGAAACAATGCTTACAATCTCATTAAACTTAACATTCCTTTTAAGTGCAATCTACCAGTCTCTGATATTCCTCTTTATCTGTACCCCACCATTCAAGTATCATACACACCTGTCACCAAGAAAGATAATGAGAATCTTGCTCTACTCAAAGCTGTCACTCTTGAAACAATTGCCTCCTCCATCGAGAGTCTAAGATCTCACGAGCACTGTGTCTACACCGACGGCTCAGTCCAGTCTTCTACTGGACGGACTGCAGCGGCATGTAGGTTTTATAGAAATAATATCTGCACAAAGTCTGTCAGTGTCAGGTTAAACAACTGGCTGACCTCCACACAAGCAGAACTAGCAGCATTACATTTAGCAACCAGCACATTAAAAAATATTGGAGGAGGAATAATATTCTGCGATTCAAAGTCTGCTCTTCAAGCAATCGAAAACTTCTCTTGGAAGATCGACAGCAAGAACCTCATACTATCAATTATAAATGACCTAATCGCTGCACAGAGTAAAGGGTTTCGAATCTCCTTTGTATGGATACCATCACACATAAATATAACCCATCATAATGAGACAGACATTGCAGCCAAATTAGCGTGTAACAAAGATAAAGTTGAATTAGACCTAGGCATCCCCATCTCTGTCAAAACTGTATTGGTCCAAACACTCAGGTCTCATAGGAAAGAAATTACCGACTCCCAACGACGTGAAAGTACCAGTATAAAAACCTACGATTTGTTCAGATCTGAAACCTATATTTATGGGCAGCACAAAACGTCCACCAGACTGTGCGACACAGTGGTTGCCAGGATCAGGTTGGGTTACCGTTACCTGTGGCAGATGGCAACAGGTGACGGATCTCCCAATCCTGAGCACTCCAGGTGCAAACTCTGTGAGCAGGAACTGTGGCATGATCTCCCACACTACATCACCGAATACCCAGTTATTAGACCATTCAGACCCTTTGGCATGAGGTCCCTGGAGCTTTGAAATTTATTCACTCTCGTGTTCTTGAAGATATTCCCATAGTGCACCCAAAATTTGCTAGTGTAGGCTACTGAACATATGGCCCTGTATGACTAACTATCCAGCGAGATGGGGACTTTCAGTATCACTGGTGCCTTATTCACTCTTGTGTTCATGATATCCTCATAATGCATCCGGAGTCTGCCAGTGCAGACTACTTATCACATGCCTCTATATGACTAACCATCCTGTGTGATGGGGATTTTTTAACGTCACGTAGCTAGCTTTTTGACAAACTGTACTCCCCTTCATATAGTCGAGGGTAGCTGCACAAATGCAGATGTACCTAAATGTGTTAATAAAAAAACCGTGAATTCAGTGCTAGTGCAGACTACTTATCACATGTTTTTGTATGACTAACCATCCTGTGTAATGGGGATTTTATCACCACATAGCTAGCTTTTTGACACACTGTACTCTCCTTCATATAGTCTAGGGTAACTGCACAAATCCAGATGTACCTAAATGTGTTAAATAAAAAAAAAACCGTGAATTTAGTATTAAATGGAAATGTTTGTCCGAGGGTTGGAGGCCAGACTGGGAAGAGGGGAGGGGAAATACGGGAGAGGGAAATTGGGGAGATGGGAGGTAAAGCGGGGAATGAAAAGAAAGAAGGGCGGGAAAGGTGGGGGGGGGGGTGTTATAGGGAAGACAGACTGGCCTGGGCACTGCCAGATTACCCTTCTAGTAATATAATAATAATAATAATAATATTACTTTTTATTTATGTTGCCCGAAACGCTATGCGTACTAATGGCTTTAGGTATTGTATGTACTACCTCTATCTATAAATCAATCAGAATGTTTGTAACTCTGCATCTATGTGTGTCCTTTCCCTAAATAAAATATTATTATAAAATTCAAAAATTTGATACATGAATCAGTTCAGAAATAGTAGGTAAACAATGTAAATTATTACAGTTTAAATTATTAAATTTTGTTAAACAAAATATTTGTATAGGGCAAGTAAAGACCTGTGTAAAGGAGGAAATGTAGATGTTTATCTCTCAGAATGTTTGGTAATATGTTTATTGTTTGTGATGTGTGTGTATGTATGTATTAACACGATGTACTGAACGGGGTGAGAATAGCTTCAGCTACCTCATCCCTTTGTGTGCATTTTACCTCAATAAACTTATTTCAATTTCAGTAAAGTCCTAATTTGTATAGGGCAAGTTGTATTGAAGCTGTAACATGGCCTGAGTGGCGATGTTACAGCTCCAATACAACTTGGCTATAAGTGTATCTGACAGTTCGGCTTGTATGGGATTCTAAATGAAGTAAAGTGTAGTGTGTGTGGACATAAACACACCAGAGCATTACATTTTAAAACGTACAGATTTAGGTATCTAGAAGTAAAATTAAACACGCTGCATGAAATGTAAAATAATTTTATTGTAAATAATAAAATATCTGAAATACTTGGACGGTAATGTTCTGTTCACAAATTGGACATTAAGGAAGGAGTACATGGCGACACCAGCTACTTAATGTTTGAACGTCGTAAGACCATAATCAGAGCTCAGGAAGGGTGCCTCTTAAGTACATGTTTTGAGTATTTTATTTGTTTTGATTATTTATTTGAGTATTTATTTAAGTACAGGTTTTGAGTATGAATTCTAGAATGTCAAGAGGAGTACAAACTAGATTCAGATAAACTCTGCAGTTGTATCCTTTGTGATCTTTGAAAATTTAGTTTGGAAAGATAGTATGAGGTTCCTTTTCTCAATACATTCATCCTCATTGAGGATTACAAATATTGGCAACTTATCACCTGGTCTGACAACTATTCCCTTGTTCTCTTGAAGGCTCTTAGCTGCTATTTTGAACATAGAAGAGAGTATGGTGGTTCTGTAGTTACCTCGAGTCTTTTCTCCGGCCAGAGGTTCTGCTTCCAAAGCATCATTAGTGGTGATTACCCTTCGTGTCTCAAGGTTGAATATGTCATCCAGCAGGATCTTCACGCCACCTTCCAGGTCATCTCATTTGGTCTGGACATAACGTGAGAGTTTATTTCCAGATTTCGAAGCGAGTTGGTGATATATATATTATGTGTGTGTGTATACATATATATAATGTGTGTGTATGTAAATATATGTATGTATGTGTATGCATATATATGTATATGCATACACCTTCTGAAGATGTATTTAATATACGAAAGTACTTAAGGAAATTTCCTGTTTCATTTTTCCTCCGTGGTCTGACATTGTCGCATATGTGTGTGTGTGTGTGTGTGTGCGCGCGCGCGCGCAACTGTCCTTCTCCCAGGACGCAACTCACAACTGATGTCTACTCCCGTGTACCAGTTTGTGAGTACAGGAGTACAGGCATCAACCATATCTGGACGGACTGCAAGTATATTTTTAACTATTGTTGAGTGTGAAGTAATCACAAAGTTTTATCTGCAGCATGCCAGTGGCCTTTAAATAATAAATAACTGGACATCCACCAAGAAAATGTTTTAGAGTATCTTAAAGTTTCCTACCACAGAGTTCACAGTTTCGGCGGTGGTATAAAAAAACTGATTTGATATATTTCCTGTACACGAGACATTGAAATGCAGACTCCATGGGAAGAGTGAACGCAAGTGTTAAGAGTGTACAAATAACTGCTCTCGCTACAGTCTATCAATCATCATGAGAGAACTTTAGGCTTGATTTGCAGGTTGTGGCCGCCATCCAGGGCTGAGGTGGCGCTTGCTGCGGCTGTTGTCGGGCTTGGTCGTCAGACGACTCTCACCTCCAGGAGACTTGGACCTAGCAAGTGGGCGGGAAGACTGTGGGCGTGAGGAGCGGGGAGTTGGTGTGAGGCGGCGTGTGGCTGCAGAAGATGGCGGTGATACAGTTGTGATGGCTGTGGTCACCTTGGAGACAGGAAGATGGGGCAGTAGAGCAACAGGATTACTGGCCGTCAGACCCAGGGCTACCAACCGAGGTGGTAAGGGAAGGTCAGAGGACAGGCGAGGGGGTGGAATTTCATTTAAATTGAGACAACAGAAGGCAGCACCTTGGCGCACGAGACTACGCATCTGCGCTCGCTGTCTTCTCTCGTCCGACGACATTAACACGGCATCCTCAAAGAGCTGATTTTCTTCGTCCTTCTTGTTAGAGTCATCGTCTTCGTCGCGTTCACCGTCTCCCTCTTCACTCTCCCCCTCCCAGCAAGGGTCACTCACCAGCTGAGGTAGGAACGCACTAGATGTGTATTGTGCGGAGTGCGGGCTAAGTGCTGGTGAAATGAAGGCCAGGTAGTCCCTACAAGCGACCAGCAAATGTCCGCTGTGCAGGAGTGTGAGAGGGCGTGGGGCCAAGCCGCAGGACCCGCCAGGGAATGACAAACTCAGGGTCTGCAGGCACCGCCAGCTCTCCACATCGTACACGCGCACAACCTGCACACATACAGAAATGACTCATAAGATGATGGCAAAGTTTCTTATCGTGAAATATAGCAATTAACGAAAGAAACATTGGGACACAATAAATTAATTCCAAGGGAGAAACCCTCATGCATGTATGTATATGTATTAATACAATAAAGGAGGTTATAATGGAATATGAACGTAAGAAAGGTGTGAGAGAGAGGCGAGGATACTGACGGCGTCGGCGTCGCAGGCGATGATGGCGCGGCGGCGGGAACACACGAGGAGGTCAGTGGGTGGGGCGCGACCCGGGGCGGGCGGCAGCAGCGCCAGGGCCGCCTCCGGCACGTACGGGTTCCACACACGGAGCCGTCCGTCCATACTGCCAGTCACCAGCACGTGTAGTGACCACTCCACCGCCATCACCCGCACACCCTGTGTACACACACACCACAACACTCTTATTCCTGGACACACACCACAACACTCTTATTCCTGGACACACACCACAACACTCTTATTCCTGGACACACACCACAACACTCTTATTCCTGGACACACACCACAACACTCTTATTCCTGGACACACACCACAACACTCTTATTCCTGGACACACATCACAACACTTATTCCTGGACACACATCACAACACTCTTATTCCTGGACACACATCACAACACTTATTCCTGGACACACATCACAACACTTATTCCTGGACACACATCACAACACTCTTATTCCTGGACACACATCACAACACTTATTCCTGGACACACATCACAACACTTATTCCTGGACACACATCACAACACTCTTATTCCTGGACACACATCACAACACTTATTCCTGGACACACACCACAACACTTATTCCTGGACACACATCACAACACTCTTATTCCTGGACACACACCACAACACTCTTATTCCTGGACACACATCACAACACTTATTCCTGGACACACACCACAACACTCTTATTCCTGGACACACACCACAACACTCTTATTGCTGGACACACATCACAACACTTATTCCTGGACACACATCACAACACTTATTCCTGGACACACATCACAACACTCTTATTCCTGGACACACACCACAACACTCTTATTCCTGGACACACACCACAACACTTATTCCTGGACACACACCACAACGCTCTTATTCCTGGACACACACCACAACACTCTTATTCCTGGACACACACCACAACACTCTTATTCCTGGACACACACCACAACACTCTTATTCCTGGACACACACCACAACACTCTTATTCCTGGACACACACCACAACACTCTTATTCCTGGACACACACCACAACACTCTTATTCCTGGACACACACCACAACACTTATTCCTGGACACACATCACAACACTTATTCCTGGACACACACCACAACACTCTTATTCCTGGACACACATCACAACACTTATTCCTGGACACACACCACAACACTTATTCCTGGACACACATCACAACACTTATTCCTGGACACACACCACAACACTCTTATTCCTGGACACACACCACAACACTCTTATTCCTGGACACACACCACAACACTTATTCCTGGACACACATCACAACACTTATTCCTGGACACACATCACAACACTTATTCCTGGACACACATCACAACACTTATTCCTGGACACACACCACAACACTTATTCCTGGACACACATCACAACACTTATTCCTGGACACACACCACAACACTCTTATTCCTGGACACACATCACAACACTCTTATTCCTGGACACACACCACAACACTCTTATTCCTGGACACACACCACAACGCTCTTATTCCTGGACACACACCACAACACTTATTCCTGGACACACATCACAACACTCTTATTCCTGGACACACACCACAACACTCTTATTCCTGGACACACACCACAACGCTCTTATTCCTGGACACACACCACAACACTCTTATTCCTGGACACACATCACAACACTTATTCCTGGACACACATCACAACACTTATTCCTGGACACACACCACAACACTCTTATTCCTGGACACACATCACAACACTTATTCCTGGACACACATCACAACACTTATTCCTGGACACACATCACAACACTTATTCCTGGACACACACCACAACACTCTTATTCCTGGACACACATCACAACACTTATTCCTGGACACACATCACAACACTTATTCCTGGACACACACCACAACACTCTTATTCCTGGACACACACCACAACACACTTATTCCTGGACACACACCACAACACTTATTCCTGGACACACATCACAACACTTATTCCTGGACACACACCACAACACTTATTCCTGGACACACATCACAACACTTATTCCTGGACACACACCACAACACTTATTCCTGGACACACATCACAACACTCTTATTCCTGGACACACACCACAACACTCTTATTCCTGGACACACACCACAACACTTATTCCTGGACACACACCACAACACTCTTATTCCTGGACACACACCACAACACTTATTCCTGGACACACACCACAACACTCTTATTCCTGGACACACACCACAACGCTCTTATTCCTGGACACACACCACAACACTTATTCCTGGACACACATCACAACACTCTTATTCCTGGACACACACCACAACACTCTTATTCCTGGACACACACCACAACGCTCTTATTCCTGGACACACACCACAACACTCTTATTCCTGGACACACATCACAACACTTATTCCTGGACACACATCACAACACTTATTCCTGGACACACACCACAACACTCTTATTCCTGGACACACATCACAACACTTATTCCTGGACACACATCACAACACTTATTCCTGGACACACATCACAACACTTATTCCTGGACACACACCACAACACTCTTATTCCTGGACACACATCACAACACTTATTCCTGGACACACATCACAACACTTATTCCTGGACACACACCACAACACTCTTATTCCTGGACACACACCACAACACACTTATTCCTGGACACACACCACAACACTTATTCCTGGACACACATCACAACACTTATTCCTGGACACACACCACAACACTTATTCCTGGACACACATCACAACACTCTTATTCCTGGACACACACCACAACACTCTTATTCCTGGACACACACCACAACACTTATTCCTGGACACACACCACAACACTCTTATTCCTGGACACACACCACAACACTTATTCCTGGACACACACCACAACGCTCTTATTCCTGGACACACATCACAACACTTATTCCTGGACACACATCACAACACTTATTCCTGGACACACACCACAACACTCTTATTCCTGGACACACATCACAACACTCTTATTCCTGGACACACACCACAACACTCTTATTCCTGGACACACATCACAACACTTATTCCTGGACACACATCACAACACTCTTATTCCTGGACACACACCACAACACTCTTATTCCTGGACACACACCACAACACTTATTCCTGGACACACATCACAACACTTATTCCTGGACACACACCACAACACTTATTCCTGGACACACACCACAACACTCTTATTCCTGGACACACATCACAACACTTATTCCTGGACACACACCACAACACTCTTATTCCTGGACACACACCACAACACTCTTATTCCTGGACACACATCACAACACTTATTCCTGGACACACACCACAACACTTATTCCTGGACACACACCACAACACTCTTATTCCTGGACACACATCACAACACTCTTATTCCTGGACACACATCACAACACTTATTCCTGGACACACATCACAACACTTATTCCTGGACACACATCACAACACTCTTATTCCTGGACACACATCACAACACTCTTATTCCTGGACACACACCACAACACTTATTCCTGGACACACACCACAACACTTATTCCTGGACACACATCACAACACTCTTATTCCTGGACACACACCACAACACTCTTATTCCTGGACACACACCACAACACTTATTCCTGGACACACACCACAACACTCTTATTCCTGGACACACATCACAACACTCTTATTCCTGGACACACATCACAACACTCTTATTCCTGGACACACACCACAACACTCTTATTCCTGGACACACACCACAACACTCTTATTCCTGGACACACACCACAACACTCTTATTCCTGGACACACACCACAACACTCTTATTCCTGGACACACACCACAACACTCTTATTCCTGGACACACACCACAACACTCTTATTCCTGGACACACACCACAACACTCTTATTCCTGGACACACACCACAACACTTATTCCTGGACACACATCACAACACTCTTATTCCTGGACACACATCACAACACTTATTCCTGGACACACATCACAACACTCTTATTCCTGGACACACATCACAACACTTATTCCTGGACACACACCACAACACTCTTATTCCTGGACACACACCACAACACTCTTATTCCTGGACACACACCACAACGCTCTTATTCCTGGACACACACCACAACACTCTTATTCCTGGACACACACCACAACACTCTTATTCCTGGACACACACCACAACACTTATTCCTGGACACACATCACAACACTTATTCCTGGACACACACCACAACACTCTTATTCCTGGACACACATCACAACACTTATTCCTGGACACACACCACAACACTCTTATTCCTGGACACACACCACAACACTTATTCCTGGACACACATCACAACACTCTTATTCCTGGACACACACCACAACACTCTTATTCCTGGACACACACCACAACACTTATTCCTGGACACACACCACAACACTCTTATTCCTGGACACACACCACAACACTTATTCCTGGACACACATCACAACACTTATTCCTGGACACACATCACAACACTCTTATTCCTGGACACACACCACAACACTCTTATTCCTGGACACACACCACAACACTCTTATTCCTGGACACACATCACAACACTTATTCCTGGACACACACCACAACACTCTTATTCCTGGACACACACCACAACACTTATTCCTGGACACACATCACAACACTCTTATTCCTGGACACACACCACAACACTCTTATTCCTGGACACACACCACAACACTTATTCCTGGACACACACCACAACACTTATTCCTGGACACACACCACAACACTCTTATTCCTGGACACACATCACAACACAGTTATTCCTGGACACACACCACAACACTTATTCCTGGACACACACCACAACACTCTTATTCCTGGACACACATCACAACACTTATTCCTGTACACACACCACAACACTCTTATTCCTGGACACACACCACAACACTCTTATTCCTGGACACACATCACAACACTCTTATTCCTGGACACACATCACAACACTTATTCCTGGACACACATCACAACACTTATTCCTGGACACACATCACAACACTTATTCCTGGACACACACCACAACGCTCTTATTCCTGGACACACATCACAACACTCTTATTCCTGGACACACACCACAACACTCTTATTCCTGGACACACACCACAACACTTATTCCTGGACACACACCACAACACTCTTATTCCTGGACACACACCACAACACTTATTCCTGGACACACATCACAACACTTATTCCTGGACACACATCACAACACTCTTATTCCTGGACACACACCACAACACTCTTATTCCTGGACACACACCACAACACTTATTCCTGGACACACACCACAACACTCTTATTCCTGGACACACACCACAACACTTATTCCTGGACACACACCACAACACTCTTATTCCTGGACACACACCACAACACTCTTATTCCTGGACACACATCACAACACTTATTCCTGGACACACATCACAACACTTATTCCTGGACACACACCACAACACTCTTATTCCTGGACACACATCACAACACTCTTATTCCTGGACACACACCACAACACTCTTATTCCTGGACACACACCACAACACTCTTATTCCTGGACACACACCACAACGCTCTTATTCCTGGACACACATCACAACACTTATTCCTGGACACACACCACAACACTTATTCCTGGACACACATCACAACACTTATTCCTGGACACACACCACAACACTTATTCCTGGACACACACCACAACGCTCTTATTCCTGGACACACATCACAACACTTATTCCTGGACACACACCACAACACTTATTCCTGGACACACATCACAACACTTATTCCTGGACACACACCACAACACTTATTCCTGGACACACACCACAACACTCTTATTCCTGGACACACACCACAACACTTATTCCTGGACACACACCACAACACTCTTATTCCTGGACACACACCACAACACTTATTCCTGGACACACACCACAACACTCTTATTCCTGGACACACACCACAACACTCTTATTCCTGGACACACACCACAACACTCTTATTCCTGGACACACACCACAACACTCTTATTCCTGGACACACATCACAACACTTATTCCTGGACACACACCACAACACTTATTCCTGGACACACACCACAACACCTCTTATTCCTGGACACACACCACAACACTTATTCCTGGACACACATCACAACACTTATTCCTGGACACACACCACAACACTCTTATTCCTGGACACACACCACAACACTTATTCCTGGACACACATCACAACACTTATTCCTGGACACACACCACAACACTTATTCCTGGACACACACCACAACACTCTTATTCCTGGACACACACCACAACACTCTTATTCCTGGACACACACCACAACACTTATTCCTGGACACACATCACAACACTTATTCCTGGACACACATCACAACACTTATTCCTGGACACACACCACAACACTTATTCCTGGACACACACCACAACACTTATTCCTGGACACACACCACAACACTCTTATTCCTGGACACACACCACAACACTTATTCCTGGACACACATCACAACACTTATTCCTGGACACACACCACAACACTCTTATTCCTGGACACACACCACAACACTCTTATTCCTGGACACACACCACAACACTCTTATTCCTGGACACACACCACAACACTCTTATTCCTGGACACACACCACAACACTCTTATTCCTGGACACACACCACAACACTCTTATTCCTGGACACACACCACAACACTCTTATTCCTGGACACACACCACAACACTCTTATTCCTGGACACACACCACAACACTCTTATTCCTGGACACACACCACAACACTCTTATTCCTGGACACACACCACAACACTTATTCCTGGACACACATCACAACACTTATTCCTGGACACACATCACAACACTTATTCCTGGACACACACCACAACACTCTTATTCCTGGACACACACCACAACGCTCTTATTGCTATTTACACAATACTTGCTCCTGTATGCATTACGGGTTCACCATAGCCCGTGCTACATGGACACTTCGTCCTGAGTAGCTAAATCTTTAACAACAACAACCTGTATGCACACGACAAGAGGCAGCACCCAGGAGTGTGAGAGGCAGTACCCGAGGTATGGCGAAGGTGTAGGTCTTGGTGGCGTGGTCTGGCCCCCAGAGGACAACACTAGTCCTGGGGTCTGTGCTGCAGGAGACGAGGCTGGAGGTGGGTGGGTGGTATTGGACGCGACGGACGCTGGCGCCGTGGACCCCGGCGGCGCTCACCACCTTCACCCGCCGGCACACCTCCACCAGGCGCCCGTTCACCTCCTGCACCCGTCCGCACACCTCCTGCAACACACATAAATGACTTTAATAACAGCAGACACACACATGGCTGCTACAACCCCCCCCCTCCCCAACACACACACAAACTGCAGCCTGGAGTCCATACCTAGTCAAACACAAGACACAAGTTAGAGAAGATTCAGAGGTATGCCACCAGACTGGTCCCAGAACTGAGAGGTGTGAGCTACGAGGAAAGGCTAAAGGAGCTGAACCTCACGTCCCTGGAAAACAGAAGGTTAAGGGGAGACATGATAACCACATACAAAATTCTCAGGGGAATTGACAGGGTGGACAAAAGACAAATTCTTTAGCACGGGTGGAACACGAACAAGGGGACACAGGTGGAAACTTAGTACACAGATGAGGACAAACATTAGAAAGATTTTTTTCAATGTCAGAGTAGTTAACAAATGGAATGCATTAAGCAGTGATGTGGTGGAGGCTGACTCCATACACAGTTTGAAATGTAGATATGACAGAGCCCAGTAGGCTTCGGAAACTGTACACCAGTTTATTGACAGTTGAGAGGCGGGACCAAAGAGCCAGAGTTCAACCTCTTAAGCACAATTAGGCGAGTACACACACACAAGGTTACACCATCAGATATAGCCTCTCCATAGGAGACTTATGATTCACTTACGAGGTCTGCTCCTCTGATCACATTATGAAGACAGGTGTGCAAGGTCTGTTTTTTTGTAGTAAAGAGGATGGAGAGGCATAGGTGAAGGAAAGTTTAGAAATGGGACATACAGCGAGAGGTATGAAAGCAGGCGGGCTGTCCGCCTTGGTCTGGGGTTGATGTATAGTATTAAAGAACATAACCTCCAGGTGAACCATACCTTCCACACATGACCCAGTGTGCCCTCCCCCCCCAGGGGTCCCAACACTCACCAATCTCACCCAAGTTCTCAGGAATTCAAGTGAAATGTTTCCAACATTTCCACCATATAAGGAAGACTTGAGTCAAGTTCGTCAACACTTGACACTGAAGCCACAATGCTGGCAGACATTGTGAGGCTGTGTGTCGGGCCTTGGCCCCGTGTCTGCCTTAGTACCCCCCCCCAGCAGACCTGTGGTACGGGTATATGGGCATGCGAGGGAAGTGTGGTGCAGGTGATGGATGTGGTAGAGGGATGATTGGAGTACCTGCCAGGTGAGGGAGGTGAGGCCCTCACTGCGAGAGCGGGTGAGCAGCTCCGACACCGGGTGGGGAAAACGAATCAGGTGAACCGATCCTCTCTCGTCCCCTACAGCCACCCACCGCTCCTCCCCCACACACCTGCTGACACACACCTGTTAATACCTGGAACACATCTGTTGACACCTGGAACACAACTGCTGACCCACACACTTGTTAGTACCTGCTGGAGCATATTCATGACCACACTTATGGATAATCTTCAGGAAACTAGATAAAGGATCCTTCAGGACGCTATACATAATTCCTACATATATAACCTATAATAACCTACATAATCCACATTATATAACAACCTAATGATATGTAATTTCAATCATCAGATCCACTCTTAAGAACTGCAGGCCCATCTGGGTTGGGAGACGTTTGTGAGTACGTACCCGGCGGCGAGGCAGGCGGGCATAGCTGGCAGGTGTGTGAGACGCAGGAGCTCCTGGGCGGCCCCTGAGGCAGCCTCCACCATGTGTAGTGTTGACGACGACGCCGCCACCACCGCCACCTCCTCCTCCATCACCGCCACCTCCACCACCCACGTCCCCAGGCCCACCTGCAACACCACCTACATTGTGCTCTTGCTGCCCCTCGCCCGTCACGTCAACAAACTCACGATGCCCTGCTCACTTGTCGCCTGATGCTGGCTACTGCTCTCTTCACCGTCCTATATCTCGGATATAAGTAAATTGTATATGATACCCGTCTCACTATCTAATAAGTTTGTTTAAAGAATATTTAGCCTTCAGTGACTTAACAAAAACTTGGAATTGTTCACCCTCTCCACACTCCAGAGTCACAGTATTAATCAAACATTTTCTGCTATCTAGTACAATTCTATTGTGAATAACGTGTTCACAGGGTATCATAAGCCCCTACTAGGAGGGCTTAGGATACTCTGAAGTAATAATTCAGCATAAGTGTTTTTTCTTCTAGCAGCTAAACATCTTTTGCCCAGGAAACACGGCCACACTCCCTAGTCTTCTTTCTGCAGTTATTTATATGTTGTTGTGATAAGACATTCTAGCATAGTAGCATTTCATTTCCCCCAGTGCTCACAAGGCCGGGGTTGTGGAGGTAGTGGAGGCACACACCCACAGTGGTAGGCGGTGGTGTGTCTACCTCATAACTACAGTAAACACACAGGTAAAGTTATGGTGACCTTGCGTGTAGCCAGCGGCTGGAGGCTGTCGTCGGGTGAGGAGTCCAGGTGGAGGCGGGAGTGTTGTTGCTGGTGCCACTTAGTGCTGTCTTACGTCCACCCACGCCCCCACACGCCCACGGCCACCAGCACACGCCCGCAGTCACCACAAGACGCCCACGGTCACCAGCAGGCGGCCAGGCGACAGGTGGAGTGACAGGGAAGGCGGAAGAGTAAAAAAACAGGAGACTATCACACACGAGACATCAATTCATGCTAGAACTTATTTTACTAATAATTACTAAGCTGCAATTCCAAATGAAATGCAAATTTTAGTACTGACTATCATGGTATTACTATAAAATTATATATATTGCATATATATATATTATATATATATATTATATATATATATATATATATATATATATATATATATATATATATATATATATATATATATATATATACACACACACACACACACACACACAGCGGGACGATTTATTTATTTATATAGAAAAATGTACATTGGGTTTGTGAGAGTACATAACATTGGTGTTACATTCGTGGAAAGGCACTATCACAGCGTTTGGGAGTACAGACGTGTCCACCCTGGCTGACTGACACACAACTCTCCGCTGCTGATGAGGCATGTGGTGCGGCCAGCCACGAGGAAGTAGGCAAACCCAACAAGTGCAAGCACCTAGAACATCTGTACATGTTTGTACCAGTAGCATCTGAGACACCCTGAGAAGGGTGGCGTGAACTTGCTCAAAAGATTTAGGTTCTAGGCTCACTGAGACAACCCGAGACCCAAGAGTTGCAGGTGTCCTGTTTCCAGGCCTCAGTGTGGAGTTCCAGCGAGGAAATGCTTTCTGTGTCCTCAGTTCCTGTCTGGAAGCTGAGGAGCTCTGTGAGTTCCACACCAATGTAACTGGTGTATTCACCAATACACCAATTGGTGAATTATTGTATTCACCACTCTGTAACTTGTAACCTGGCGTGCAATAACTGAGACTTGAAGAAGGGAATGGAATTATCAGGGGAAAGCACTAACCCATTACGACTATATAGCACATGGAAGAGATATGAGGATAAGGATAGAGTGCCCAACCACTGACGCTTGAAAAGTGTCGTGAATTTGTTCAATTGTTCAAGTGTCAGCGATGAACATTGATAGTGTTATCGGTAACATTTATACTCATCAAGTGGCTGAGCACTCGTAACGTCTAGCCATAATGAGACCTTTCAGGCTAGGTCATCCTCTTGTCTGCACCCTAGTTCTCCACACCCTCTTATGTCCTACTCCTTCCTTCACACACCCAATGATTATATATTATATATATATATATATATATATATATATATATATATATATATATATATATATATACATATATATTTATACATATATATATATATATACATATATATATATATTTTTTTATTTTATACATATTTTTATTTTATATTTATTTTATACTCATCTCTGATTTGCATTATATCTTCAAGAGATTACATTCGTAAGTGACTGGCAATATAATTTTAAGTAACTATTTCCAGTTGTGAGTGACTGACTTCAATTGTAAGTGACTGATTACTTACAATTGTGAGTGGCGACAATTGTGAGTACATTAGTGACACAATCCGACACCTCACATAGGATAGAGGGAAGGACGGAAGAGTACCCCAGGGGGGGGGGGTGAGGTGAGGCAGTAGAGTGAGGTGACTTACCTGTGAGTCACCTTAGTGAGGGAGCCCCGCGCCCCCACCACCAGCAGGCCGCCCCCGCCACCACCACACGCCACCACGCCCGCCACGCCCTCACGCTGAACACAGTCCTCTCACACTTATTGATGATAATAACATACCCACTGATGCATATATGTTCTCTGGGGTCAATACAATCAACTCTAGCCAACTTTGCTATATTTTATAGGCTCTAGAATGATTTACTACAACAGGATCTTATCTTGAGATGATTTCGGGGCTTTTAGTGTCCCCGCGGCCCGGTCCTCGACCATGCCTCCACCCCCAGGAAGCAGTCCGTGACAGCTGACTAACACCCAGGTACCTATTTTACTGCTAGGTAACAGGGGCATAGGGTGAAAGAAACTCTACCCATTGTTTCTCGCCGGCTCCTGGGATCGAACCCAGGTCCACAGGATCACAAGTCCAGCGTTCTGTCCGCTCGGCCGACCGGCTCCCTTTGCAAAAGGATCTAGCAAACTTTACTACAATAGGCTGCACCAAACGTTACTGGTTCTAGATCAACTTTAATAAGGTTCTAGCACAAGTTTACTACAAGAGACATTATTACCCCGTTATTTAATGTTTGTAAACAATAGTAATATGCACGAGGTTATGTCCTGTGCCAGCAATCTCAGTGTATTGTTATATATAAATGACTTAAAGAGTAAAAACCCGACCCGTTATTATACAAACTTTGAATTACATTGTCAGATATTAAACATTGCATTACATTGTGCTTACCTTATTGTGGGTGAGGAGGCGGTAGCGGGGTGTTGAGGAGAGGAGTGGGCGTGTGGGCGTGTGGGGTCCCCCGCCGCCCACGCCAGCAGCCAGGTACGACACCAACCCGCTCCAGCTCATCCCAGCACTGCTCCTGTAACACCCTCCCCCGTCACTAACACGTTACACTAACAGGTAACACCACCATGGGTCACTAACACTCACAGCCTACATATACAGTAAGTGATGGCTTAGATACACATAGAAATGATCAAACAAATATGATATAATCATATTACACATAAGCCTTAGCCGAAAAGGCACTCTGCTATGGCAAGGAACTTGTGAAGAGACGTCTCACCCTGTACTGCTGCTGGTGCTGCTGAGGTTACTGCTGCTGCTACTGCTGATGTTAGCAGCAGCGCCCACACCGCTGGAGACGAGGCTGGGCGAGGCGCTGCTGCCGGCCGCCACCACCGCGTCGAAGATGGCGCCACACACACCCTCGAACTTGTGGCTCCCTGCCACACAAGATCAACATCTCCACTGATTGATTCATGAAGATTAACCCACCCAAGAGATGGCACGGGCATGAATAGCCCGTAAACACATCTCCACTCATGCTATCTCTTATATGTACCTACCTTCACTCAGACCACCTTACGCTATTGGGCCGTGATACACACACAGGTGGCCAAGTACGCCACCTGAATCTTTTGTCTCCAGCGTGGCAGTTTAGTCTGTCTTTACTCGGAAGTTTACGAGCTCAGAAATTGTTGGGCACGCTTCCATTCACCTGACGCCTCTGTTCACCAAGCAGTAAGTAGGTACCCGGGAGTTAGACCACTGTTGTGGGGTTGCATCCTGGGGGATGGTCAGTAATTCGAGCTAAGGAGACCTAAGCACAGCCTTCCTGCCCCCGACAATTGTAATTATATCGACTAAGTTGGCATAATCTAGATAAGAGGTACAAAGTCTTCATCGCCTGTCCTCATTTTGCAAGTTTCAGCAATTTTTATTAAATAATGAATATTTGATGCAAATACTTCAATACGAGAGTTATATAAGCAACAAATGTTTTAAATGTTAAAGTCAGTAGTCACGAACACATCAAATATACACAGTCACGAGTACGTGCTAAAGTGCTCATATCCCGAGTAAAAAGTACTCATGATACCAATGTGTAACTTAACCATTGGTATCATTACATAGCAAGGACAGACGAGGCCCAGCGCAACCACCTCCGTAAGGCCGGGACGGGGTGTCACCTACCCAGGAGGCTGGAGACGGCGTCCACGAACTGAGACCTGTTGAGGTAGTGGGTCATCCCTGGCTCGTCCTCCCTGCCCGCCAGCGACGCCCGGCCCGTCCAGCCTCTGCATCACAATTAACTCACGTTAGGCGCCATAAATAACTTGTGAAAGTTTACTTGTAAATAATATATTGTTAGGATATTGTACTGTTGTAACTTGTATAGGGAATTGATAATAATATTTATTACATGTCTCCAGTACTAATATAGGGTATGTGACACATGTGGAGGAACCATCTATATAGGTATTGTACGATAACTATCCCCCCCCCCCAGTGACTCCCTACCCAGTAGAGTCAGTAGAGAGCCCCACTGACTCTCTACACTACTAATATACACATTAAATTAACATGACCAGCATCAACCTCTCCCGGGTGGATGTGAATAACAGGCTACATTATTCACAGTTTTTATCCAGACTACACTAACGATGACCTCCACCCGACATGCACTGATCCATGCATGTCAGATCTGAAGTATTCATTTGCTATTTTAAATTCGTCTTTATTCTTCTTCATTGGTCTCAACAAAATTATTAATGGCGGTAACAATGCATTTCCTATGGATCCCATCTCGTGTTGGTCTCCGAATGCATGAAAGAGCTGACGAGTTAATCAAAGAATCTGCCTTCAGAGTAGTTGACAACCTTGGAGTGCCCATACGCAACCTCAGAACAATAATACACTAAGAACTTCAACAAAATCCTTGTAGATCTGAAACAGTGAAATCCATATTAGCTATTTCATCATCCTTCTATTATTCCAGAAGAGCCATACACCTATGGGTCATTTAATATAACCAGCAAACTCCAACACGCTCGGCACACACTCTTTTATAAATATATCAAGGAGTTTCCACCACCTACCCATGTAGACCTGGCTAAATGTAAACTGTCACCAAAACTGTTAGCAGACATATCTGCACTATGCGACATATGTGGAAAAATAAAGAATTTAGAGAAATCACAAATGTTCAAGAACTGTGTATGTCACTAAGACTTTAGGCAAGTATCCCACGTGTGGTGAGTGGAGGTAGTGGGGCACTGCCACCGCCGCCCGCCGGCCGGGTGCTGCCTGCATCATAGATAAATTAAAATAGTATGTATGCAACTGGATCATTACCAATGTATACTTCTTAGCTCAGAAACCACTCTGGTCCAGTATCTAAGCCCACTTTGTATGACTACACCTTTCCTGCCACTCACACAGAAGATGGGCATGAAGCTCATAATAGATTAATTGAACAGATTCTCAATGTGTAAAGGCCTCTTGGGGTCACAATGATAGTGAGATAAACTGTGAATACACGGTTGGTGTATATTTTAAGAAACTATGCGAGTAGCTCATCTATGATGCAACTTGCTTAGCTAAATGAAATTTTGGGGATATCCTGAGCCCATTAAGCGCCTGTGTAACTTTTACCACTACTGCCCAGGGGCCAGATTCATGAAGCAGTTACGCAAGTATTTACGAACGTGTACATCTTTCCTCAATCTTTCGCGGCTTTGGTTACATTTATTAAACAGTTTACAAGCATGAAAACTTGCCAATCAAGTGTTGTTATTGTTATAAACAGCCTCCTGGTGCTTCGGAGCTCTTTAACCGTTTAATAATTGTATACAAAGCCGCCAAAAATTGAGAAAAGATGGACGGGTTCGTAAGTGCTTGAGTATCTCCTTCGTGAATCTGGGCATAGGGAATGGCCAGCTGTGAAGTGCAAGGTAAATTAAGTAAGCTACCGAAGCTATCCACTCTTGTCGAAGCTTCCACTGTGAAGCTTGTCCACTCCATAAACTGTTTATGTAGGACAGACGTAAATCTGTGTATGTTTGTAGGGTAGATTAGCATTTTAAAAGCAATACAATCACCTTCTGTGGTTGATTGTTCAATAAATCACTGAATTATATGTTTAACAGATCTCTAATCCTGTCCATGGAGGACAGAAGAAAATGTTTATAAGCTGGTTAGCATTGTAAATGTGTACACAACATACCTGGGCGGCGCGAACTGTTGACGGAGCAGCAGGAGGTGGTGAGGAGTGAGGGCGGCCCACAGGTCAGCTTCCGTGGCAGCACCGTCGCCTCTGTAACACCTTCACTTGTCACACATCAACAAACCACACAACATAAAAAACATCAACATCAAGCATCACAACACAACCACAGACACTTTCATAATACAAGTGTAAGCCCTTACAGTCTCTTACTTTACTCTTCAAGTCAAACTTAATTGATGTACTTAATAACAGTAACTATGGTTGGCTATGTATAATACACAAAGCAATCATGGTACTCAAGGAACACTAGGAGAGCGACCTCTTAAGATCACGTCCAACTAGTCTTGACACAAGCACATAACTAACGTTCACACCCAGCTGGGAGTGCAGCTCCCGGCCTCCTAGTTAAACAACCTAATTTCTAGTCTATTACTCTGCTTATTTACAGCTTATGACTTTCCTGCTGTTAATAAAGTTATGTTAAAACATTCAATAAAGGGGATAGAAGTAGCAACACATGATGGCATGCTACAAAGTGCCCTAATTGAAATAATAATTTGTATGTGGATTCTCAGCTGAAAAAATCCTTGTTGAAACTGTTGCCATATTTCTTAACCGCCTGCCTCAACAGACTTCTAAACACAACCTTTCAATCAGCTCGATCCTATTACGGCAATCACAAATAGCTACTATACCTAATAATCTACAAACACAAACGTCAACTTGATTCAATATTTAGTCCGGTATGAGATCCAGACCCCAGGTTACCTTTTAAAACTCATGCAACACCTGGCAATATTGGTTATCTCTTAGACTCATTGGAGACTATTTTTTTTGCCTGACATCCCAGACTCGTCAATACTGTATCATACAATGTTTTCACACCCTTAATTACTCTATAACTATTTTCTGAGACAAGTAAATTTGCATACTATGTGGCATTACTTTATAAATTCAAAGACTCTCCAAGAGAGGCTCATATGCAAATTTAAAACAGCCTAATGCAAATCTCCTTATAGCTCTATTCACACCTTCATTTCGTCTTTGAGAAAACTACCTACGCATGGCAGATTTATACGTACAATATTTTTCCTTAGTTAAGGCATTAAAATAGCCTAATGTTGTGAGGAAATTACAGTAGGCTACTGCTAAAGTGATCAGGGATTGACGGGTGAGCCCCCAGGTCGTAGGAGTGCGGAGCTGGTCGGCCGAGCGGACAGCACACTGGACTTGTAATCCTGTGGTCCCGAGGTTGATCCCGGGCGCCAGCGAGAAACGATGGGCAGAGTTTCTTTCACCCTATGCCCCTGTTACCTAGCAATAAATAGGTACCTGGGTGTTAGTCAGCTGTCACGAGCTGCTTCCTGGGGGTGGAGGCCTGGTCAAGGACCGGGCCGCGGGGACACTAAAAAAGCCCCGAAATCAACTCAAGATAACCTCAAGATAGCCCCCAGTACTAACCTGCCAGGGTGGCGGTAGTGGGCGTCGTCGGAGCCGCTGCTGCTGGCGCGACTCAGGTGGATCCTGGGCGCTGGCCCGGCCATACTCCCGCCCTGGCCACCTTTGGAGATCAACTGACAAATATTTACCTGTACCTCGCAAAGTACTCATAAGCCAGTGTACACGCACAAGCCAGTGTACATACAGGACAGTGTACACACAGGACAGTGTAGACACAAGAGACTGTAAACACAAGAGAGTGTACACACGTGCCAGTCAGACAGCAGGTGTGTAACACGGCGTCGCTGGGAGGCGTGTGGCGTCCCCGTCACCATGGCAACTCAACCACTCGCCCGCCCAGAGAAAACCGGCTTGAATTTTGCGTTAATATGTTATCTTGGACCTTATTGATCAAACACAGACATTAATAGTGTTGTTAATACGTTTAAAACTTTCTAAAACGAATCAATGACAACTACTGGTAAGTAGATGACAAAATAAAATAATAGGGAACAAATAAAGAACAGTTTAAAAGGGTAACCAAGTTCTACCTAATCAACTATGTAACCTACCTTGCTTCCTATATGTCAACCTATGTTGTGGTATTATTGAATATTAATTATTGAACCTGTAAAACTGCCCATAACTGTTCGCATGGGAACATCTGCATCTGGGCAGTTATCTTTAGTTATCTTTAGATGATTTTGGGGCTTTTTTTTAGTGTCCCCGCGGCCCGGTTCTCGACCAGGCCTCCACCCCCAGGAAGCAGCCCGTGACAGCTGACTAACACCAAGGTACCTATTTTACTGCTAGGTAACAGGGGCATAGGGTGAAAGAAACTTTGCCCATTGTTTCTCGCCGGCGCCTGGGATCGATCCCAGGACCACAGGATCACAAATCCAGCGTGCTGTCCGCTCGGCCGACCGGCTTAAAGTACTAGTTTAGTACTAAAGTACTTTATTTAGTATTTATTAATATTATGTTATATGTTATAATAATAACACTATTAATAAAGTATTTAGTAAAGTACTAAACTAGTACTTGTACTAGTTTAGTACAAGTCCCTCGTAGTTATTATTATATCAAGCCCGACAATTTTTCCATATAATTTTTATTTAAGCAGAAGTATATTATATTATTATTAATTAAATATATATAATAATATAATGAGAATAAACACAATATCTACCCCCGAAAACTAAGTTAATAATCCAGCCGAGTGATTCATATTTCCTTCACATTATGTTTAAACTAAACTAATCGTATTTTCAAGACATTTAATTACCGATAATATGTGTATCTAAATGCAGGAATAGTCACAACAAACGTGATTCGGTTATGCTTAAGTATTCACCAGGAAAATGAAAAGAAAATTCCAAACGTTTTCCATAAATTTTCATTAGTATATTTGTGATTTTTTTGCCTAACCGAATCACGTGTTTTTTTTTTGTGATGAGATGATGCAGGGACCTACACTGTACAATAACAGATGATGCAGGGACCTACACTGTACAATAACAGATGATGCAGAGACCTACACTGTACAATAACAGATGATGCAGGGACCTACACTGTACAATAACAGATGATGCAGGGACCTACACTGTACAATAACAGATGATGCAGAGACCTACACTGTACAATAACAGATGATGCAGAGACCTACACTGTACAATAACAGATGATGCAGAGACCTACACTGTACAATAACAGATGATGCAGAGACCTACACTGTACAATAACAGATGATGCAGGGACCTACACTGTACAATAACAGATGATGCAGGGACCTACACTGTACAATAACAGATGATGCAGGGACCTACACTGTACAGAGATATGATGCAGGGACCTACATTGTACAATAACATGATACAGGGACCTAAACTGTACAGAGATATACCTACACTATACAGTTTGTACACTACAGTTTCTACACTGTACAGTGGACCTACACTGTACAATAACAGATGATGCAGGGACCTAAACTGTACAGAGATATGATGCAGGTACCTACACTGTACAATAGCAGAGATGGTGCAGGGACCTACACTGTACAATAATAGATGGTGCAGGGACCTACACTGTACAATAACACAGAGGGTGCAGGGACCTACACTGTACAATAACACAGAGGGTGCAGGGACCTACACTGTACAATAACACAGAGGGTGCAGGGACCTACACTGTACAATAACAGACGGTGCAGGGACCTACACTGTACAATAAGTGTCGTCCAGTTGACTCAGCGTCGCTACCGCGCCTCCAGCTGGACTAGACTGATTAAAATAAGGAAAGTTTATCTTGGCTCGTCTGGTTATCGGATATCGTGCTTAGTCTAGCTCAGAGTTCACACACATTTTTAATATTTTATGATGAGGCAAGTGGCACTGTCCTCTCCAAATAAGTTATTTTAAAAGATAAAGATTTTAAGTTATAGTGTTTGACACTGTAAATATAGGTTTGTCATTGTTGTTATTGTGTAATCAGTACTAGAATGGTTCGTAGTTAACATTCCATACTTCAGCGGGGTTTAGGAGTAGCAAATTAGTTGCCAAATCATTGACTTATTTATTGGTGTCATAACTTGTGATGAGTCGTGACGTGGAGTGATTAAGGCGCCAAGAGAGCTTGGAGAAGGACACGTCCTTGGTGGCATGACTATTAGTCGCCTGGTGAACAAATAATTGAAGTCCACAAGAACATGAGAGATGGAGAGACTTGGTGGGTGTTGATGATGCAACATTACCGCCCGCCCACGTGGTGGGGGATGGGGTGGGGGCGGTAGGGGTCCTGGACCCCCTCACCCCACCAGGGTGCATGCAGGGGTGGTGGACCCCAGGCTGGGGTTGTGTTATAAAGGACGCATCTTTACAGAGGGACGACCTGCCTCTGGACAGGTCTATACTGCTCCACAGTCTCCCCGGCTTAGTGTCCTCTGTTGATAATTACTGTAATTACTTGCCTATTTCTTACGGTGTTTCCACCAGGTTGTCTAGTGTCTGGTATGTAAGCGAGGGGAGGGGGGGGGCAGTGGCACGAGGGTTGCCACCTATTGTCTTCCTCCTATTTTAAAAGTACATATTCCCCTCTTCACTCGCCCTTTTACCTCTGTTCCCACTCCGCCTTTCCCGCCCATATTCCCTATCCCTCCCCTCTTATCTCCCACATTCTTTACACCCCAGCGCCATACCTTCCCTCACCCCTCTTTCAAATTTTCCCACGTTTCACCCCCATCTCCCCATTTGCCCCCTCCCTCTCCCCCCCCCACTTCCTTCCCTTCTCTCAAAAAATACCCCGACCTGAGTTGCAGCAGGTGGTGTTCCCGGGGTGGCAGCAGGTGGTGTTGCCGGGGTGGCAGCAGGTGGTGTGTATACTGGTCATATGGTCACACCATTGCCTGGAACACTGGTGAACCTCACACTGTTCATGGTCAAGTCTTCCGCTACTAAACTGCCCAATACTTCCAGCATTATTTCCAAAACTTACCAGCGGTAAGTTTTCAAGAACTGACTGTGGCAAGTAGTAGTGCACAAAATAAAGGGGGCGTTAATCAATACACAATTACACCTTCACTGATATATTAACAACTTCACCACTATATATATTATATTAAAGTATTACTACACATTTACAAAGTGTCTCTTTCACGCAGGACACAATACATCGGCAGTGTTCATCAAATTCACGGTGAATCCATCTTCCAGGCACCCGTCGTCCACACTTAATGACCAACACCGGCGAGTTCACGTTCTTCACCACGGGCCAGTCCACGCACACAGTATCGTCATGAGTACCCGACCTTCGCTCTCCAGATACACACTGGCAGAGTGTTTCAGCCACACGCTGACAGGGGGATCAAATAATCATATACAGGGGTAGCCAGCACTCTGACAGAAGTCTCTAGCAGCTCACTAACAGCACTTTTCAACACACACACCACTGTCGTCTCCTAACTTTTCCTGACTAAATCCTGGGTATGCCGGTCCATACAACACTGCATAAATCCAGCAGCTAACACACTGCTATAACCGACGGCGGCCACTTGGTCCTCTCACAGGACCAAGTCAAGCGTTCTGGACTGCCCAAGGTGACCTGCCCTCCTCAGCGCAATCGCCTCCTTTACGTCACCTCTGTGAACATAAAACGTCATTACACCCACCAGAGGTCATAATCATCAACCTCACCTTCTAACTGAGGCAGGAAACCGAAGCTTTTCACCCATGCCACGCCACCAACAGATGACATTGTCTGCACTGCACCCAATACCTGGTAGTTGGAGTACAGATCCATAGATGGCGCCGAAATCACCACTCCTTACTCCGGCAACGGTGTTGATAAAGTAACATATGTCTACTACATATATATTTCTCTCTAACACACCAACACATCCCCTAAGAAGCAGCCCGTAGCAGCTGTCTAACTCTCAGGTACCTATTTACTGCTAGGTGAACAGGTCCATTAGGTGCAAGACACTCTGCCATTTGTTTCCGCCTCCGCCGGGAATCGTTAATACTACGATCTCCGAGCACTGTCCACTCAGCTGCGAGGTCCTGTGTGTGTGTAATTACCTAAGTGTAGTTACAAGATAAGAGCAACGCTCGAGGTGTCCCAGTGTGTGTACTCACCTAATTGTGCTTGAAGGCGTTGAACTGGGACTCATTCGACCCGCCTCTCAACCATCAATCTGGTCTACAGATTCTTGAGCTTCTCGAGCGCCATCATATCTCAGCCCATCCTCCGAATATGAGGAGGTACAAGTAACTGCACAAGTAAGTGTAATTATGTACTATTCCTAGCAGTCAGGAATTGTACCTATTACACTTAGTATTAAACCGCACTGTCAAATAATCGCCAGAATCACACAAATATATTGTGAACATTTGAGTTTACCTGAAAAGCTGTATAGAAAACCACGACCTAACCTAACCTTCTTAGTGTATGAGGACAAGCATTTTATTGCTTCTTAATTACAATTAGCACTTAACCGATAGCTATAGTGATATTACAGTTTTATAAAACTAAAATAACTAAACTAAAATCTTTCAATAAATTATAAAGTAACTCAGGATATTTTAAAATTTTGTATAAAATCTATATTGTTTAATAAATCTGAAAAAGAAATTCTTTATATTTAAAACTTGTGTAAATAGTTATTAACGTGAAAACTTCATCCTAAAATTCTCTGAGTGTTTTAACAGAAAATGAGAATATATTGGCAGAAGTAAGTGTAATTATGTATTATTCCTAGCAGTCACGAATTGTACGTATTACACTTAATATCATGTCTCCCCTTACTCTTCTGTTTTCCAGGGACGTGAGGTTCTGTTCCTTCAGCCTTTCCTCGTAGCTCATACCTCTCAAGTGTGTGTGTGCGTGTGCGTAGAACATTCAGAAGCGATAAATTAACACACACAGAGACAAAGATATTCTCTGAAACTGTCTCCAGTATTACAAAAACCGCGGGTACAAACTTCTGAATGTCAAGATCACACAGCAACCGGACACTCCAGGTTTTGCACTTAGGAAAAAAATTGTTTGTTGTGACATTTACGGTGTTGTGAGCAAGGAACGAGCTGATGTGCTGAGGGCGCTGAAGGTGACCATATTGAAGACTTCAGACCCAAGACTGCTACAAGTTAGAGGTATCATCAGGCACTGGACTGTGTGAAAATTCTGGTCCGGCTTCAGTGGAAGGCTCAGGAAACCCTCGTGTGTTCAGTAGAACTCCAGGTTGCAATTTTGTTGACCATGTCGTGGCTTGGTTGTCTGGGGCGTGCGCGTGGGAACACCCACGGCATAGGTTCGAATCTTAATCACGGCTCCTGCAGATTTTCTCATTGATACATTCACGTTAGTGTGATTACTCTCTGTGTAATATAATAATAATAATAATAATATATAAAATTTGTTGAAAGTGCTTAGAAAGTTAGGCTTACTATTAGTGACTACGGGAGAGTGAGACGTAGCTCCCAATGCCCGCCTCCTGAGCCGTTTATACATGGCCCACTAATTGTCTCTCTCATCGTTAACATTGTCATCATATTTTGTCATGGTTGTTGAGGCTTCAACAAGTTCTTCCTTCAATGTTCACTTGCCGACCTTCCGTAAAGGGAATCTGAATTTCTTTACATCTCTTAGACTCAACTGCAAGTCCAGCTCCCAACACTGTCCCCTTGTTGGACATTGAGGGGATGGACACAGAAGGTACAGTGAAGCTGTCAGGTGTGTAAAATCTGCCTCTTTTGTCTGTTGGGGGACAGGCAGCCAGTGTATTTATACATGACAGGCTTATATCCAGATCCTCCTGGACGCCTCCCCCCCACAAAGTCGAACAACTGACCCTCCCTAGGATGCAACCCACAACAAGCTGATTAACTCCTGGGTACTTATTTACTGCTAGGTGAACAGTTGCATTAGGTGATAGGAAATGCGCCCAACTATTTCTATCCTGCCCTGGAATCGAACCTGGAATTCTCGATTGTAAGTCGGGAACGAACCCGACTGTACTACCCGGGACACTGGTCCATAGTTTAGTGATTAACGCCTGTTTCCTTTCTTGAATATTTGGAACTACATTTGCCGTGTTCCCCATATTGGGGAGGCGTGCCGTGTGTAGTGTAGTGATGAACACTCTAGTTATTGGGTGACACAAGATCCCTCCAGCTTCCTTCAGTAACCATAGTGTGACGGGATTGCTTTTTTAATTTTGCCCCGAGGGGCGAGTTTATTGGGCAGCGCCACTCATCCTGTGGGTGGACACACCGCCATAGTGACAGTATTGGGCAGCGCCACTCATCCTGTGAGTGGACACACCGCCATAGTGACAGTATTGGGCAGCGCCACTCATCCTGTGAGTGGACACACCGCCATAGTGACAGTATTGGGCAGCGTCACTCATCCTGTGAGTGGACATACCGCCATAGTGACAGTATTGGGCAGCGCCACTCATCCTGTGAGTGGACACACCGCCATAGTGACAGTATTGGGCAGCGCCACTCATCCTGTGAGTGGACACACCGCCATAGTGACAGTATTGGGCAGCGCCACTCATCCTGTGAGTGGACACACCGCCATAGTGACAGTATTGGGCAGCGCCACTCATCCTGTGAGTGGACACACCGCCATAGTGACAGTATTGGGCAGCGCCACTCATCCTGTGAGTGGACACACCGCCATAGTGACAGTATTGGGCAGCGCCACTCATCCTGTGAGTGGACACACCGCCATAGTGACAGTATTGGGCAGCGCCACTCATCCTGTGAGTGGACACACCGCCATAGTGACAGTATTGGGCAGCGCCACTCATCCCGTGAGTGAACACACCGCCATAGCAGCGTGTACAACACTCCCC